AGACGGCTCCAACATCACGGACTAGTGAAAGTATGGGACGCCAGACACTGGAGACGATATCAAGTTTATACATGGTGCATCAAAGGGAAGTGCTTGCAGCCTGGCATTGTCCATGGTTGACATGCACTATTCAATGCTGTCTAATCGATGAGATTTTATATAAAGCAGAACGATAGAAACCAAAGAAGTATAGAAAGAAAACATGAAAAAACATGCAAAATCACCAACCCTCTTCTTCCCATCCAGTGGCCAGGAACTTCTCCCCGGACTTAGCATTACCATATCCGTGCTAGCCGATCAAAACGCTTTCACCCTGTTGGCCAGCCTCGTATACCTTGGCTTACATACAGATACATCATACTAGCGACCACCATGTCCCAATCTCCAACCACACCACCATGCTGGCACATCCACCCCATGACGCACACAACCACCCCCCAAATCGCCCGCTTCATCAAGCAACACCCGCCGCAAAACATTCTCCGCAGCTGCGCACCCAACCCGACGATGAAGTCACGCGCTGCATCCACTCAGGCAGTTTTCTCTTCGCAACCAACGCATCGGCACACACACCCTCAGAACCAAAAGATGGACAAGAAAAAGAAATCATAGCTACAATCGGCTTCGTCCCGTATCAGCCACTGCTTCACGTACTTCCCGCCGCAGCGCAGAGGTAGTGCGGCTCTTTGTGCTGCTGCTGTTTCGGCGTTGCGGGCTTGCATCTGCGCTAAGTGGGTGCGTTGGAGCGGTGCGCGGTGCGAGATGGGGTCGCGAGGTTTGTATTTGCCGGGTGTCATTGCTTTTTGGGAGAAGCACGGGTTTAGCGTCGTGTGTATGTTGAGGAGGGGGAGGATGGGGGTGTGGCGGACTACGCGTATGGAGATGTTGGTTGGGAGGGATATAATGGATGCGTGTAGTAGTTACCTATTTTGCTTCTTCCATATTCTCATGACTGTACATTTAATTAGTCTCGTTTTCGTAGGTTGAGCAAGATCCTAGACTACAAGATGTTATTCTTTTCTTTGTTTGTTTTTTTCTCCTCTTCATGACATTATTGTATGTACCATGTGACAAAACGAAATGTAAATGCACGCTCAAAATCGCACAAACTACATGCAACAATTCCCCTCCATTTTCCGAGCCAAAACCAAAAAACGCCAGTCGTGTGACAAACATACTATGCAACAGTGATACATCATCTAGAATCCATCGTGTGTTTTGATTCCTCTTCCGCTTCTCTTTATGCCTTTTTCTTCATCTCCTTCTTCTACCCTCAAGTTTCAGACCACCTCGCAATCGTAATACTGGTAGTGTATACCATTGCAACAAGCCCAACAATCATCATGGTAATGTCACCAAACTTCTCCCAAGGACGGTTTGCCACACCCTTGTAATGTAGGTAGGCTGGATAAATGTACACCAATGGCACGCAGGCGAAGCTACCAATGAGAGCAACAAACTTGTCGAGGTCGCTAGCTCCCAGAATAGAAATGAGACCGCAAACAATGACAAGCACGGTTCTGAAAGCGTTCTTCTTCCATTTGGTCATGGTGCTCTGCTTGCCGGATGCGCGACCGAAAATCTTGAGCTCAATGTTACGCATGGCAGGGAAGAGTTGGACAGGAGTGCCAACAAGAACGGCCATGGAGTAGAGGAACTGAACAGCGTTGACAAGTTTGCTGCTCTGCGGAAAGTTGGTGATGACTTCGACAGAGACGTGTTCACCAAAGGTACCGTAGCAAAGCACGCCTACCGAGGTGAAAATGACTGTGATGATAATCATGACAATGTAAAGTAGCTTGCTGAAGTGCTCAGGCTCCTTCATGCTCGACTGGATGGGAAGGATAAGACCGATGCCCTCAAAGGTAAAGATTGCCGAGCCGATGGTCAGGGTAAAGTCGCGTGGGTTGAAAAGCTCAATGGAAGGATGGAAGCCGCCCATCTTGGAGATCCATGAGACATCATACCAGTAGATATAGGTCAGGCCGATAAGAATGAAAACATCGGCAAGCAGCGCTGCAGGGCCAAGTTTGGATATGTTCCGAATGAATGACATGGGGATCAAAACGGCAACCTGGATGAGAATGAGTTGGTTCGTAGATAAGGGTGCTTTGTCACGAGTGACGGCATCGAGAAAGGACGCCAGATTGTCTGCCGTAAAGATGAGACCAGCACAGACAAAGCCGATTTGGGAGAGGGTGATGGAGACCAGGATAAGGGCGCGAAACCTTGGGCCAACGACAATGCTACCCAAGTCACCATAACCACCACCCCCATAACGCTTCCTCGTTGCCAGCAGCAGTTCAAAGCATAGAGCTGTGATGGCAGATACCATGATCATAGTGATGCTTGAAAACAGCATTCCACCGTTCTTGAAAGCCTTGGGCAGAAACATGATTCCGGTACCGATGAAGGCCTTGAGAAGGGTGAAAAAGGTCTTTGTTTGGTTGGCATCACCTTGGGCTCTCAACTTTCTCGAGCTCTGGCGATGTCCCAACAACGGCCTACGCTCACCTTGAGCCTCCTCCTCGTCCGTTAGGGCAGACTCGTCGTCTGACTCCTCAAGATCTTCACCAGCGAATTGGCCATAGAGAGCGAGGAAGGAAATGAAGTTCCGCGTAACAGGTTCGGAAATGTAGCTGACACGCTTGCTTTGCCGTTGCAGATACTGTCGTCTTAGTCCACCTGGCAAGAGCTGATCCCGGACGGGAAGCTCATCATGATCAACGGTAGAGTTAGAGGGGCGGCGTTGATCACCAAAGTAAATGGGCTCTGAAAAGGTGGCTGCTCGTTTATGCAACTTTTCGCGTCTGTTCTGCGCCGCAATCTTGTACAGGTCACGGTGGATGTCACCACCCTGTAGGCGCAACGAGGATTCTGGCATCTGACGGTCGGTAGAGTTGGAAGAGCTTCCTTGGCCCTCATCCTGTACTGGTGTTGCTGGATCGAATTCCGAAAAGTCGTAGCTGGGGTCCAGATGTTGCTCGAGCACCTTTGCCTCGTGCGGGTTGGCGCCCGCAGTCGTCTGGGGTGTGTCAGTCATGGCAGATGGGTTTTGAATGAACACAGCAGTGACGGGGCAGACGGAATGTAGGTTCTGGGAGTGTTATAAAAGATGTGCGTGGGCTGCTTAAATCTGGCGGTGAGGTGCACTTGATGAAACAGTAGCCAATGAAAGGGTTTGCAAAGCTTAAATGGTCCGTGTGCGTGTCATGACCAAGTTTTGAGGGGTTGAGCAGCTGCAGCGTCGAGCAGTAGATTATCAGTATTTGCAGCAGCACTGGATTGATTGTAAGAAATGGCGTGGGCGGGATTTTTTGTAGCAAGACGAGAAACCAGAATCTTCGACGAAAGGTGACGACTAGCAACATATGACGACGATCTTGCTGGCGCCTTGGCAGGCCGGCACGTGCTGTGGGGAGTGGCTATCCCTGCATAAGCCACCGGGTCATTGGTACAACAAGCGACTTGCATCGTGCTTGTTTCCTTCCCGAGAGTGCTGGCTGGTGATCATTTCACCTACTAGTCGGCAAAGCAGCAGATCCTTTCATCTTCGTCGGACACGTTCCTTTCCAGTTCAACAAGGCTAAAGAGTGAACAAAGGGTGTGCCAGAGCGGCTCAACATTCCTGGACATGGTTTCACCACGACTCCGCCCGGAATACTGGACTCGCGGGTACGCTGTCCCACCGCGCTAAATGCATCACCAACCCCGGCCAAGAAAACTGCCCGACTATTTATTAGCTTGTTCGTTTGAGCAGCTTGCCTACCACTTACTACAATACACATGGATATGTTTGGCTACTTCAAAGAGAATTACCAAGTGTAGTTCACGTGGCGGGGCCACTCCAAACTCCCTTCGCTTGTAGTTGAAAGACAATGAGTCCATTTGAAGGAGCTTGGGAGATGACCACTATAAGACGGAATATTAGATATTGGTGGTCGCTTCAGGTCTTCTTCCTTACACTGGTTCTTGGCCCGTGTCTGGAGTAAAGAGATAGACAATAAGGCGGCATATGCCATGTAGTTGGCATAACGGTACTAGCACACTAAGGTATACGACATGGCGCTAACCATACTTGTACATGGGTGTATAAGTTGCAGTTAGTCAGCGAAGTACTTGTAAGAAGATATTGGATTCGCAGATAATACCTACAACTGCATGTAGGCGCTACTCTTATTAGGCGGCGCTGGAACGATGCTAGTACGGACAACTGCGACAGCTTATAGCTATGGGGGCCAAGCGCAGACTCAGCACGCTTTTTTGAGCACCCGGCTGTGAGCAGGGTCAGATTTGATGGCACTTTCCGCGGACTTGCTTGGATATGCTGGTATCTGACATGGTTCAGATTTGCTCAACAGGAAAATGTCCTGTGGTGAAAATACAGTAAGATGGCGCAGTCAGACACCAGTGTGTAGTGTCATGGACGGCCCGGATTTAAGTTTTATTGTATGAAGTGTCACATCTTGCTGTGAGAGTGAATGAAGATGCATGTAATCATTTGACGAAGAGGTAGAGTTGACATATGCATTGGTGACGTTCTCACGCTGGCATTTGTCGGTTGAACTACTGCATCATCCCGTACCTTGCATATGCATCTTAGTAGTACTTACAACGCACTTCTACTACTTTCTTGAGCGATGTTGCAATACTTTTATTTGTTCTTGCGAGAGAAGCGCACGGTCTTTGCAAGGTCAGTGTCGGGCCAGCCGAGCGTTTCAGAGCATAAGCGGATCGTCCAAAGGGAAAAGCTGGAGATCGTCCAACCTTGCGTCCGCCATGCTAGGTGGTGGTGTTAGTGCGGGCAGGTCACGAGACGCGCACCGAGCGTGACGAGCCGAAGTCTGGGTTAGCGCATCAGCCTGTTAATTGCGGCCGGACCAGCCTATACCAGTCTTGTTGCGTCATTCACCATCTCGCATGGTTGCGAGGTGTCCTTGTGCTCCCTTGTACGCTCCAAAGCCTTGTATCCAACGTTGCAATCATCAGGAATGTATTGCATGAGAGTATTGAAGCATCAGCACACTGCACGCAATCGTTACATTCATCTCGTACCAGCTGAATCATCACCAAACTCAGTACCTCCACCACCCTCCATATCCCACCCATCGCCAGTTGACCAACAGTCTCTCGACGAAATTGCTTATTTTCTCCATGCAGGGCTGGTTCTGAACTATTGATTTTGTAGTTGCAGCAGATCCCATGCTGCAGACACGAACGAGGCTGCACCATCGCACTATACAGAGCTTACCGCGGCTGGGGGGCCTCGCTCGCTAACGCGGCCGCATCAGTTATGATTGTCCTGATCCGGCTGCAACGTGCTCTAGTTGTATTGGAACAATCGGTGCCCAGATACAACATTCTGGAGGGGTAATGTGGGTGTGGCACCACCGGCATCACCGGCTAACCGAACGTTAATGGCTTGCGTGCTGACTGCTATTTCCGCCACACATGTGGCCGTTATGCACCGTGGAACCTAATCTAGAAAGTGACGTTGAGTCCGTCCTTATTTAGAACTCACAAAGGATGACCGTCAATATAAAGTTCGTCATCCTGCCCGGAACATTGCAGCCTCACCAACATCACCAACATCCCCTACATCCCCAGCTTACTCGAGCAAAACCCACACAATCAATTCCGACATTAACCAATACAAACTACGACCTTGGTCTATTCATAATAACATGAAGGCTCCCCCGATCCTTTTGTCTCTTGCCGTGGCTGCTATTGCCAGCGCACAAGACTGCTCACAAGCCTCGGAACCGTTCTACAACATCACTTCCAAGCCTTTTCACCTTGTTGTACAATCCGAAGATGGAGAAGTTAACGATACACTGAGTGCCTGCCACGTCGGTGCAGCTCTGGAGTCACTCTGCCTTAGCAACGGCAACTTTGGCAGCAGTCCTACCCCTATCCCTGGTGCAGAGTTCTACTTCAACACCTCCATCTACTCTGCTGCACCAGATGAATCAATTGGCGTTCCCGGCATCCTGACGTGGATACTCCCGACTAACGCCTTCAATGTTCCATCTTCGGCCGCGTTTCAATATGACCCCATCTCTTCCCTGGCCGTCCCCATCATCAGCCCAGGCAGCGACAATCCCACACTGGTCACGTTCGATTCCCAAGACGATTTGACTATCCAAGCCTACGTTCGCGGCAGCAATGGCACGGGCAACTACGAGCAATTCTACCGCTGGTACGCATGCGAGACTTTCTACGGCAGCTACAACTACAAGAACCTTGCCTGGAACTTGGGTTCAGGCAAGCCCGACAACCCAAGCTGTGTCGCGGTCAACGTTACCAGGGTGTTTGTCTAGGATGATGGCCATGGCACTCGAAATGAATGATTGGTATAATGTCAAGATGAGAGCAGGAGCTGGAACTCTGTTGGTAATAATTCATGACGAATGCGGATAGACTTGACCGGTAATAACATTCCTTAAAAGCGTAGAGTGGTAATTACATTCCTTTAAAAGCGTAGAGCAATGGGTACATTCATTGAAAGCATAGAGCGATAAGTACATTCTCTTAATACGACCTAAAGTTTCTTGAGCTAGCCTCGTAACTACCGTGACTTTCCTTGCACGTGCTCACTTTACACGACTTCACTCTTGGTTACCCTTGCAAGAGAAGATGTCTCAGCCAATGTGATTTACGATCGAAGTACATATGATGTATACCCTATTACTTGGGGGTATAAAGTCATATATAGAGCGTACAAATACTCCAAATTTTAGAAATCACGTGGGCCTCGAGTAGTGTACATCGTTTTGTAGGGCGCTACTACTGTGTTCTCATAGAGGGCGAGTACGTACGTACAGCGAAGTAGTAGGTGCGCCGACTCACGTTCAAGCATCAGTTCCCCACAACCTACCCCACCAAACCCCGCGTTCTTTTCCCCAATCCTCCATTCTCAGCTGCTTCATAATGCGGAAGCCGGGAGCGGCCCTTCTTGTGCATCCCCTACATGCGGAGGTTGTGCTTGGCTGTGGAGCCATCTGTTCAAGATGTCTTTGATGTAACATATAGGTAGTACTAAGACTGCACTTTTTTCTTACGGGGGCTATACAATTCAAGTTTCAATTTGGCTTGGAAAAAAAATCAAGAACAATCCAGATTTTGATATTAGCTACCTTCCTTACACTCGTACTCGACTATGGCTACATGCTCTGGCAGCGGCGTCGCTTCTCTCCCGGACCACTCCCCTGGTCTATCATAGAAAAACACTTCCAGACGCCTTCCGTCAAGCCATGGATAGCATGGGAGCAATGAGCAAGGTATTATGACTCCCCAATGATGACGCTGTGGATTGGCCATTCGCCGCGTATCATTCTGAGCGATACATGGGTTGCATCGGACCTGCTGGAGAAGCGATCAGATATCTTCTCAAGTCGCCCGAGATTTCTTGTCATGGGCGATGCAATCAATGCGAGCGAGACTAGTCTGACGAATTTGGAATATGGGGATAGGTGGAGATTGCATAGGAGGCTTATGGTAAATTTGTATCCGTGAATCATTGTTAAGCCACTGTGTAAAAGAGGTTGATGTGAAACAACTCAGCATACCGTAGTCGGTAGTCAAGCAGTTCGAAACTGTCGTGATTTCCAAGCGGCTGAATCGGCACTTCTGATCCGTGACCTTTTCCTCGATCCAAACGACTTTGAGCTGTCGATTGAACGTTACTTAGTCTCTGTAGCATCCATCATCGGCTGGGGACGACGCATCTACCGAAAGAATAATTACGTTGCACAGCTGGCACTGGCCTTCATGGAAGCCGTAGACTATGCGATACCCGGCGTATTCATCATGAAAGCAATCCCCTTGCTCCTCCACGCCGTAGCATGGCTCTACGAACTCCCGTCCAAACTCCGTTCGGGATCCGCAACAATGCCACGCTACTCTCACCTCGTCGCCCTCGTCAAAGCAACCCTCCGCTAGCACACCGTCACCGCCCTGGCAGGCCTCCCCCACTCCAACATCAACCCCGTCAACAACAACAACAACAACAACAACAACTACCACTTCTCCCGCTTGCACAAACTTGCACCGCCCAAACCTCTAGGCCATGCACCGCCTACCCACGCTATTTCCCCGGACCCGGATACCTTTGTCCCCAGAAAAGTTTCCAGACGGTGAGCACAGTGCGAAAATGCCGTATTTGAATAACTACGGTATGAACCCCGTTTTGGATGGGGGGAGTGAAGGCAGCGTTGTAGCGGACAATCGCTTGTGGAGAAAGGGGTTGCTGTATTCGATTGCAAGAATGGATTTGGGGGTTTGAGATAGGGATGTAAGAAATCTCCTCCCCCATCTCTCTCTCTCCCTTCCCCTTCTTTTGCCTTTGGCGTGTAGAATAAAGTAATTAACATGGGGAAATTTCGGAACTAGGGGGATCAAGTCAAGCCTGATATCTTTTGCATATAATAAGAACGAGAATATGCGGCTTGAGTCGTTCAAGGTGAGGTTGGTACCAAGGTTGTAGAGGATTAGGGAGGTTATGCTGTAGGAGGCTGCCCGAGGTGAGGGAGGCGTTGAGGTAGTATCATGGGGAGACCGAGGTTACGGTTGAGAAGGCGCTGGAGAGTCGTGTTACTGTTTGAATTGGCTGGAGAAGTTTTCCTTACTACTTTTTGAGTCGTGTAAATAGCAAAATGGATATTTTGGACTTGAGAGTGGGTCAGTTTAGTAACATTGGATTCTTACGAAATCATGTTGAAAAGATGTGCAGCGTATCGTTTTTGTATCTGTATTCATGTAGTTTTATTTCATGGGTATCTCATATACATATGAAACCGCGCCTCTGTGCCGTTACGTGCAGCCGAACAAGGCATTCAGTCGTGCCCTACATCCTCATAATAACTTTTTTCCCTCCCATACTCCCAGTTTCAAATCGCACATACTCTTTTTTTTCAGGTAAAAAGGCTAACCTGAACTTTTGTCCTTTCTTCAAATCCATACCCCCAGAACCACATATCGTCGTCATCTCATTACAGTCCCTTTACTTCCCCTTTAGAAAACCATCTCATGCGGCCTCTCGTTGCCCCGGAGGCTGAAGCTCGCGCTCAGGTAAGCCTCCAGATCAGGAGTCTTCTTAATACTAGCCATGATACTCTTATCCACAGCCTTCTGATCCTCAATCCGCTGGGGATCCACTTCCTTCTTGGCAGGCGTCTCACTGCCCTCCTTGAAGAAGTCATCTTCGTCCTTCTTCTCACGCGCCCAGTACTCGTCCTTGGATACACGCGAAATGACGTCGGCGTCTACGGCGGAGATGTCAACGATGGTCGAGGTGGCAATGACGTAGCGGTGGTTTACGCGGCGCAGAGGGACACCGTTGGATTTGAAGGGGCCGGTGATGAGGAGGATGCCCTGCTCGAGTTGGCGCAGGAGAACGACGCGCTTGCCACGGAAGCGGCCCGAGAGGAGGATCAAGACGGTTCCGGGGGTGAGTGAGTCGCGGTATTTGGTCGGGTGTGCGGTTTTGCGCGCCTGTAGTTAGATGGTGTTAGTTTATGTAGTTTTGCGCGCCTGTTTCCGGTACAATTGGCTGTTTTCTTGTCTCTTCTTCTTGTTCGTCTTGCCAGATACCACGATTTTACCTGCAAGAAATTCCACATACCTTCTTCATCTGCGCCTCCTCCTCAGCAGGATAGTACTTTAGTGCCTTTTGGTCGGCCATTGTGTGTGTGAAATTGCGGATTTTATGAGATTCTGCTGAAACTGTTAGTTCAGACCATCATTGAAAGTGACGAATTTCAGGCAGGCGCAGGGCAGTTTCTTACATTCCGTTACGCGATTGTCGAGTTTGACGCTGTCGTCGTTGTCGCGAATTGGAGATGTGCGAGCACTTCGCTAAGCCCAGCCCTATGGTGGCGCTAAAGTGGTTCCATCCCCGCAAAATTAATATGTATGTACATATGTGCGTTCACCTCGTGCATGCATCTGCTTACTCGTCAATGCTCGATTTATTAATTAAACGAGACCTGCATTGTCCGTTGATAGCTTTCTTTGGGGTCGGGTCAATCCTGGTCACTGGCAACCACCACTGGGAAATCAGTTGGTATTGCTTCAATTCTCGAATTCTGGGTAATTACATCAACTTCAGCCAAAAGTTACACTGCCCAACCACCAGTGGATGGCAGGGGTATCGTCGAAATCAATAACAATCCACGCCACAGAATTCCGCCATGCTGTCAAATTGACGCCAAAAGGTAAAAAAGATGCCTCCGTCTCCCAAACACCAGTTCCATCCACATTATGTATATCGCAGGTCATGGTATGCGTCGCTCGTAGGTGTACCGCGGCCCTCATGCTGCATCTGTTTGTTTATTTCCTGACATCACTTTCCCGTCTGTGGCTTGCAGCAATGCTACTGGCGGCGATGCTAACAACGTCACTCATGCTATCCTGATCCCGCTGATAGCTGTACTGCATCCCGGAGTCTGGGCCCTTGAAACCGTTGTCCCAAGCCGAAATGCGCGAAAGAAGCCTAACCCACAATTAAAACAGTCCACATGCGCACATGTTATGGCCATGGGAAGCGAGAGCGCTCACCGATCGTCTGGAGGACCGTAATAGTCTTCGGGAATAAGTTCGTAGTCGCCCTCGGCAGGCAGGTAGAAGGCGGAAGCGGCAATGCCAATCGATGTCAGGATGAGGATGGTCCAGCTGGCAGTGCAGAGAGACCAGGAGAGATCGAGATGCCAGCCATTCCAGAAGCGATCGTCATGGTCAAAGAGGAAAGCCTGGCAAGTGTTGTTAGGTGGTGTGTTTAGCGTCTTGAGGCAAAAAGAAACATACCACTATAGCCATGCCAGCGCACTGCACAATGGCACTAAAGGACAAGACACCGACAGCAACTTGCCAGCCAGCGGCCCTGCGCTGGACACCACCAGAAATGATGACGACAAAAGCGACGATGGCGCAAAGCTCAACAACAACACCGAAGGAGGTCAGGAAGCCAACAGTGCGCCACATGTTGCAAAAGGAGGGATCTTTTGTACAGTCGCTCGACTTGGGAAAGGAAACACAGGTGCCGGTGATGGCAGAGCAGCGAGTGTGGAGGCCATAGGAGTATTCGCGCTCGCCGTTGGGGCTGTAACTGACCCAGCGCGGCATCGAGATACTGGCAATGGTCATGATGGTGCCTGAGACATGTCAGTATGTGGGAAACGCATTTCAAGATGGGGAGTGTGGTGCATACAGGCCAAGGTGAGGACGAGGCCGGCGGCGTAGACTGTTCTTCGCGTCATGGTGGTCGTGGATGTGTGGAGGAGTCGAGGGAGGGTGTGGCGTTGAGGGCTCGCGGCGGGGGCCTTAAGGGCAGGCGAGAGTGGGAGCGGGAGTGCGCGATTTGAAGTAGAGGATAAAAAGCGCAGACAAGAGACCAAAGCAAAAGGGTTGCAAGCGTAGTAGCGGCGTGGGTACGGCGCGTGCAGAGGATGCGGGGGAAGGCGCAGAGGACGGATGAAGCCGGGGGCCTAGAGGAGGACGAGGGCGAAGCACAGCATAATGATGATGATGACGGCACCGATCATGGAGGGTTGAAACGAGCCATGAGTGATCAGAGCAGGGCTTTTGTCGTTGTCGCGCTAGCACCACGATTGATTCTTGCAATGACGACAGGGGGACGCCATTCGGCCTGCCCTGTCTTGCCTTGTCTTGTCTTGTCCTGCCCCGCTCCACCCCCCGACGCGGCGCAACAAAAAGAAAAGAAGCAAATGCAAGGCCCAACTTGATTGCATACGCATGCACACATACGCACACACTATACTATACTACACTACCTACACCTTACCCTGTATGTACGCTAATATATGCAACTACACCACTTACACCTCCACACATACATAGTACATATACAGTACCACCATTGTCTGCCGCCCACGGCCCCAGTCACGCCATGGAGGCACCACCAGCCAGCCAACCAAGCTGCTCTGCTCTGCTCGCCTACCATTCCACCACAGGCCATCTTGTCCCTCCCCCCGCCCCTGTCGCGCATACAGGAATGTCCTCCGCGGTGACATGCTGCAACCATCGCATTGTCAAATGGCGGTGTCAAACTCGATGCTGAATCCTCCGATCGCCGATGCACCCTCAGCCCGTAACCAGCACTGCCCGTTCGTTGCCTTGCCAGCTTCACTTGCGGCCCTGCAAAAAACTTTGCACACACCACTCCTGGTGTGGTTAATGGGTTGCACCTGGGCCCAGTTTGGCCTTGAGAGATAAGAAACTTGGTCACACGCCCAGACATGTCCACCGATGACCATGTCTGCACCGGTAAACCAGTGGGGCGGGCGCTGTGTTGATCATGGCCTCGCGCTTGAGCGAGTGCCCTCGTGAATCTCGCTGGCCAAGGCCGTTGCTGCTCAACCTCTCCGATTCCAATCACGTCTCGTCTCTTGCGCCCTCGCCAGCCCATCCATATTACCCTGCTGCTGTAAGCGAGCCTCGCCTCGCGTATTGGGCCATGTCGCAGTCAGCGCATATCGTATGTATTGATAACCATGCATCTCGCCGACGGCCGCTCCTTCCTCACTCGTCCGCCAAGCATTCCCACGCCAACGTCCCCCCTACTCGATGACCCCCGATCACAACATTAGTTGAGACCCTGATAGACAAAACCTGCGTGCTACAAGCCGCTGGCCTCTCAATTCATGGGCACAGAAAGCATCTAGAAGAGAGCCTCTTCTGCATCACGCTTCGGCTGCGCCTTTGGCCTCTGCAGCATCTCGTAGCAGAGGATAGAGGCTGCAACACTGACGTTCAGACTGTCCACACCAATCTCGTTGACCCCGCGACCATGCGGAATACCCACTTTATAATGCGCCAGATTCAACAGGCTGGCCCTCAACCCCGTACCCTCAGCCCCCATCATCACTATCGTAGGATGCTCTGCTACAGGGCTGTGGCCTGAGGGAAGCCGTTTGGTGCTTCGAGCCATGGTGTATACAACCCCGCCACACTCCATATCAGTGGCTTCGGCACTTGACATGCTACTAGATAGAGTGCGCGGCACTGCATCGCTCGCGTATATCCGCCAGCCTGCTCTAGAGCTTCTGCCCAGGAAATCTGTGGGCTCTCCAACCTTGAACAGCGGCATCGCTTCAGCGGCCCCTGCCGAGGCCTTGACCGCAATGTGGCTCCAGTTTGCCGTGTGGTGCGTCGGGGTCGCAATGGCATCTGCGCCTAACACATAGGCCGACCGTGCAATGGCCCCAAGATTGCCTTCGTCAACCTGATCTGGTTAGTTTCCACTCTCTGTTAAACGACCAATGTCCACTTACTACTCCATCCACGTACAACACTAGTGGATGTCTCCAGCCGCGTGACCTGTATGTGTATAGCTCCTGCTTGCCATTGACAAGTACATCTTCAGCACTCTGGCTGCCAAGCGCTACACTGAAGCTTTCGTCTTGAATGGATCCCATCTTGAGTTCTGTAATGGGCAGAACAGGAAGTGGTGATGACTCTAGGATTATGCCGTTGTGCGGACGCCCACTGCTGGCCTTGTCCATTGCACGCAGATACTCGTCTCCTACCTCTTCCGTAATTGGGAAAAGCTTGTGGGCTCGGATCTGAGACATGAGCCCATCTCTGCTCGCGCCCCGAGAGTGCACATAGAGCTTGTAGAATTTACGTCGGTTTGCTTTGATTGCAGCGAGGACACTTGAGTGGCCATAGATGAACTCTGAAGCGGCAGTCGTGTAGGGAAGTGATTCTGGTCCCTGCACCGATTTTCTTTGAACCTCTGTCCTACTCTTTGTCCCAGCCGCCTCGCTAGACTGCCCTCCACCAAATCGCTCCCTTGGTGCTGCTCTTGTGTCTGTGTGACGAGAAAATCGTGATCCAGAAGAATGCCCATCTGCCACATTTCGAGTAAGCGCAAACTGTTCTCTACCAAATCGCTCCTGTGGTGCTCTTCTCATATCGGACCGATAAGAGGATGATGATGATTCAGAAAACCGTCCGTCTGCTCCATCTCGAATACGCCCTTTGTCGAATGTCACATGATCCTTGGTGGGTAGGTAAGATGTACGAGTCCTGGGTCGGTCCTCTTCAAATCTGCTGGATGCACTATCACGTGGAGAACCAAATCGCTCGAATCTCGCCTCACGACGAGCCCTCACTGGTCTGTCATTATCACCGTCCTGAAAAGCTCGTGAGCGCGGTCTGAAGGGTCGATCTGGTCCGCCTGATCTACCCCTCTCAATAGCAGCAGTGATGGATTTGTAGCGACAAAAAGTGCGTGGCAGAATTATTCGCTGCGTCCGAAATAGCGAGCTACCATTGATAAAGGGGTATGTCATAACAAGAAATACAGGCTGTTGCGGCCGTGGAATTGTCAATTTTGTATTGCGGTATCAGGTCCAATTATCGCAAGGTCAAAAAAGTTGCACCCCGCCAAGCCAGGCGTTTGCACTAAGCTTTAGCGCAGACGCGTCATCACGTGCTCAGGACTGCGCGCTCCGCGTTCGCTGAGAGTTAACCCCATCGGCCATCCGCCTACACACTCGTTTGGTTCCGCCGTCCGACGCTCTCGCCCCCACTCTTCAATGGATACATTGTGCGATTCTCGCCAGTGAATCACTCTACGATAACCGCACCGCACAGTTTAGACCCGTGTGGCTGTTTATACACCATCATGAGTAGTGATGAAGATAGCGCGGCGCTCATGGCCGCTTTCAAGAAAAGGACTGCCCCCAAGTCCATGCCAAATCCCACACTAATGCAGCCTGCGAGACAGCTTTCGGGAGCTGCCTCATCACCCTTAGCTGTCTCATCATCGGATATTGAATCTGTTATATGCGTCCAGAAATCACCAGTGAGGCGTAAACTGCAGTGTGTGCGCATACCACCAGTCAGGATCAATAGAGCAGAATATACGTACTTTGAGCCAATAGAGGAAGTTGAACGCATTGTTCGGGAGATTTCTGGAAAAAAGGGAGAGATAACCTACCAAGTCAAGTTGTCTGGAAATGGCGTTGAGCAGGTGAGTCTAATGGCAATTGAGAATCGCCCTCTCACAGGTAAAGGCGGTAGAAATGCCTTTCACAATACATAGGAGAGCGATCTGATTCCTACCGCCACTACCCTTCCTTGCCCACCTTTTCACCTTTGCACACATCATATCACTCTCGGCATCTTACTAAGTAAACTCAGCTCTCCTTCGAAGAGCTTCTCCAACTACCTGGTGGCTCAGAAGCATTGCACGTATTTGAACTGCACGACAATTCCGGCGTGACATCGTGCGCTGACGACGACGATATGAAACTGCGGGCTAGATCTTCAAAAGTCACCAACAAGGATTTTGTAGATATTTCAACGATTCCCATTTCTTCCTCGGAAGACGACAACCAAGATGGGCCCGCAACGGCCTCACGCACGCAGCGACATGCTCGCGTACGGACACTAAAGCGCAGTGCTCGCTCACAGAGATCCTCCAGAGCCCACTCACTGAGTAGCGACCTGATTGCACTATCCACAGACGACGAGGACTCTGACGTTTCCGGTAGAAAACAGAGAGGCCGAAAGCGCAAAGGCACACAAGAGCCTACACGCCGTTCAACGAGACAACCACTACAAGTGCAGGGCTACGATGAAGACGAAGAGGAAGAGGACACTGACAACTCGAGCGCTTCTGATATTTTCCGTTCTAATTTGGGCGCTGGCCGAAAGCGCAAACGACAGTCCTTGCGCACTGCCCATCCGGAAAAGGTCCCTCGTGTAGGCCAGCGACAGTCTGATCGGGCAACACGAGCAACAAACAATATGCAGGAAGCGGGTATGGACGACATATACCGATCGGATTCAGAGCCAAAAGTGGCTGCTCAGAAGGTGTCCGTCGTCCGCGAGGTGTTTGCAAAACTTCCCCGAAGTCATCCCTTCCGCGGGCGCCACGCTGAAGGCTGCGAAGTGTGCTTTGATGGGCCCAATGTTGCACCTTTGATCTATTGTCAGGGGTGTTCATTTGCATACCACAAGAACTGCCTTGGCAATCGATCTACTCGTGATCATCTTGTGACAAAGATAGGCGACGAGGACTTTGTGTTGCAGTGCAAGCGATGCATCGGCTTCTACAAGACGAAGGATGCGACTGCCCCAGACCTGTCCCGATGCCAGGACTGTGCAATATCCGGCGCTTCGTGCCATCCTTTTAGGAGTCGTAAAACAACTCAACAAGAGATGAAAGAACGCGAAGAGAATGACGGATACGATCCGATAGTCGATGTTCGTTCTGAATTGATCAACAACGCCAACAATGTCCTCTTCCGGTGCACGAAATGCTCTCGAGCATGGCACTATCATCACTTGCCACCTATATCTCCCTATGCAATGGACGTCAACCGTGATGACGAAGAGCTTGCGGACGAGAGATTTCGCGAATACTCCAGAAAGTGGCTCTGTAAAGAGTGCGACGAAACCAACGACCGGAAAGTCGGTGCAATTGTCGCCTGGCGACCGTCGGATGTCGAGTCATATAGACCGGGCATACCTTGCGAGCGAATCTGTGAAGACGACAAGCAGTATCTCATCAAATGGGAAAACAAATCTTACTTCCAAGCAGCATGGCACTCTGGAGCCTGGACTTGGGGTGTTACCGCCGGAATTCAGCGAAAAGCTTTCTTCAAACGCGAAGAAGGTCCCAAAATGCACACTGAAGACGCCATTCCTGAGGAGTACCTCCGCATCGATATCGTTCTCGACATCAAATACACCAGCTATGTGGAAATCCGTAGTGAGGAAATTGACAAGGCTCGCATTAAAGAGGTGGATCAGGCTCTTATCAAGTACAAAGGCCTCGGATACGAAGACGCCGTATGGGAGAGCGTCCCAACACCGGAAGATGGTGATAGATGGCTGGACTTTGTCACTGCATACAACGATTGGGTCGCGGGCCGTTATGTGAAGTGCCCAAAACAAAGTGCCCTCAAGGCGCGCCTCGACAAAATGCGCAGCACACCATTTGCCACGCTAGAGAGAGGGAAGCAGCCTGACAATCTTGTGGGCGGAGAACTAATGAAGTACCAATTGGAGGGGCTCAACTGGCTCTACTACAAATGGTACGATCAAAAGAACGCCATTCTTGCTGACGAGATGGGTCTTGGAAAGACAATTCAAGTCGTCGCTTTCATGACGACGCTCGTCCAGGAACATAGCTGCTTTCCTTTTCTGATTGTTGTGCCGAACTCCACTTGTGCCAATTGGCGACGGGAAATCAAGCAATGGGCACCGTCTCTCCGCGTCGTTACCTACTTTGGCTCAGCTAAAGCTCGTGAAATGGCCTACAAATACGAGATGTATCCCAACAATGCCAAGGACCTACGATGCCACGTTGTCGTAACATCGTACGAAGCGGCCGCCGACGACAGTTGCAGGAGGTTCTTCAGGAGCGTAAACTGGGTAGGTCTTATCGTGGATGAGGGCCAGCGTTTGAAGAACGACAAGAGCCAGCTGTACTTTGCTCTCACAGCAGTACGTGTGCCTTTTCGACTGCTACTAACCGGTACACCGCTTCAAAACAATGCCAGAGAGCTATTCAATCTGTTGCAGTTCCTGGACGACACGATTGATGCCGCTGAGCTTGAGGAAGAATATGCGGATATGAACGCGGAGAAGATCAGGGAGTTACACGATCGAATCCGTCCCTTTATCCTTCGTCGGACCAAGGCAAAGGTGTTGACCTTCCTTCCGCCCCTGGGTCAGATCATTCTTCCAATATCCATGAGCCACCTACAAAAGCAAGTGTACAAGTCGATCTTGTCGAAGAGCCCTGAACTTCTCAAGGCACTCTTTACCACTGACAGGCAACTCAACCCCCGAGAGCGCAGCAATCTCGGTAACATCCTTATGCAGCTGCGCAAATGTCTCTGCCATCCATTTGTCTACAGCCGCGAGATTGAGGAGCGAACCGACGTGGCTGCTGTATCTCATCGCAATCTTGTCGAAGCCTCTGCCAAACTCGGTCTTCTAGAACTACTATTGCCGAAACTCAAGGCGCGTGGCCACCGAGTACTTATTTTCAGCCAGTTTCTCGATATGCTCAACATCATTGAAGACTTCCTCGATGGCATGCAGCTTGCATACCAGCGACTTGACGGGACAATGGGTTCGCTCGAAAAGCAAAAGCGTATTGATCAGTTTAACGCCCCAAACTCGCCCCTGTTTGCCTTTCTGCTCTCCACTCGTGCGGGCGGTGTTGGCATCAATCTTGCAACTGCCGACACTGTCATCATCCTGGATCCAGATTGGAATCCACACCAGGATCTCCAGGCCATTGCCCGAGCTCATCGCATTGGTCAAAAGAACAAAGTTCTTTGCCTTCAGCTAGCAACCCGGGCCTCAGTTGAAGAGAAGATCATGCAGATGGGAAAGAAGAAGATGGCTTTAGACAAGGTGGTCGTTCAAGATCTCGACAGGGAAGACCCGGAAGACGAGGATGTTGAGTCGATACTCAAATACGGTGCAGCAGAGCTCTTCAAAGACGATGACGCAGACCACGATATTCGCTATGATCACGCTTCAATTGAAAAATTGCTGGATCGTAGCCAGATTGAGAAGACCCAGACGGGCGAAGATGATTCGGCCGAGTCACAATTTGGATTTGCACGCATTTGGGTGAATGAGAAAGGTACATTACAGGACGACTTTGATATGGCAGATGAAGAGGTGGCCCCAGATCCTGGAGTTTGGGACAAGATTTTGAAGGAGAGACAAGCTGCAGCGGCCGCTGAAGCACTCGCACGGGCTGAGGCCATGGGTAGGGGTCGGCGGGCTAAAACCGTATGTCATGCTTTGTTCCTCATATTGGCAGAAACTAACTTATTGCAGAATGTTGATTATACCGCTGAGATGAGAGATGCTGACGGTACCTCTGTCGCCGGAGAAGATCATTTCGAAGACAGCCTCGCTCTGCCACCCTCTCCTGTCAAGAAGTCGAAGAAGAGACGGAAGGTTAAGAGAGATTCTGAAAGTGACACCGACTTCCAAGCCGAGTCTGAGGATGAGAGCGAGCCTGGTTCGAATGATGAAGATGCCAACGTTGCTCGAGAGCTCGGTGATGATCATCGTCACGGTATAAAAAATACTGCAAACTTGTCGTCATATAAGCAGAACGCCGCAGGTGCGTCCAGTGTTTTTTCAAGTCAGCCCCCAATATTTCCAGATGTCTCCATCCCTCCGCCGTCTACGTCCATGGCCATCGTACCACCGAGAGGCGGCTTCAAGGTTTCTTTCGACGAGTATAGAAAGCCTGGCAGTGGTACACAACCAGGTCATTTCCCCCCGTCATCTACCGATACCTCGGGCTTCCAAGATCCGTACGCCATGGCCTACGTTTCCTCAGATCCATCTCGAAAGGTGCCAAAAGCATCAAAAACTGACCGGACAGCAGTCAAACCGTTCCAGCGTGTACAACTGCCGATTCAGAATCCGCTTGCATTAGCATATGGTACCTACAGTCATTATTCCTGCCCGGCTTGTTTGAAAAATCATCCACAAGGTGCTTGCGAGCTCAAAGTCGCAGGTGTTGAACACTGTGGTTTGTGTGGTCTAGCGCACTACGGTTACTCCCGTACATGTCCGCACATCAAATCAGAAACCCAAGTCCGTGAAATGCTGGAGGCTCTCAAGAGCTCACCAGAAGACAAGGAGCTTGTAGATGCAGCAGTCAAGTATCTACGTGGTGTCAAGGGCACCCTTGTGCAGCAGAAGAAGAGGGATAAAGAAAAGGCAGCTCTCGCCAAGGCGAATCCCATTCCACCGCCTGGGTACCCCGGCTCTGGGCATCTACCAAACAATACTTATCCCCAGCCGCCCAACACTTATCCTCAGCCGCCCAACACTGCTAATGGGTACGGTTCGAATATTCCACCTAGTCACGGCTTTCCGGGACCGCCAGGTGCACAGATGGGTCCTAGGGGCGGTGTTGGTCAAGGCCAGGGTATGCATGCACAGCAGCAGCAGATGATCCAGCAGATGCATGATCAGGGCTACAACGACCAGCAAGTCGAAACTGCGCTGAGAGGTTTCCTGGGCAGTGGTTGAGTAGAGAGCTTCTGGACGGTGTGTGTTCATTGAATAGGAGAGGAAATTGTAATCCGGATATCCTCTTTAGGGAATAGTGACATTGACTTCACTGCTGAGGCAGCAGGGGCAGGAGTTACTGGATGCTTCATATATCCAAGAATTTATTCACATGCATCGGTCAGACTCGGTGATTGGCTTCGGGTCCGGGATTATTACTGAAGAAGCTTATGGAGGAGAAAAGGAGTGACAATACAGTTCTTGATGTCCCTAATTCTCTCTTGTATAATTGTGAGAAATTGACTCCGCGCCCACACCTTTACATGCCGACGCATGAAGATGGCTCGCAGTGCTGCCTTTTCTACCTCTGTATAGCGTGCGGACTTCTGTTCCGTGCAGCCGTGCCAAGCTAGGTTTATCGATAGTAACATCGCATGAGCCCTCTCAGAGCACCGAAGTATTGCTGAAGCCCGCAAACATTAGTAATGTGCTGGTGTTATACATTTATTCCGAGAATCATGGTACATACGACCATTAGAAACTGAGAATTAGTTCTCTTGTCCGATTAACTAGGTATCGAGGTACTGTTTACGGGTTGTTTGCTGCAGTGGGCGGTAATCGGACGCTTCCAACCGCTGCAGCTGTGCCACGCCTCCGCCTGAATCTCGTTTGCAGCTTTTAACAGCCTTTGAAGCAACAAAGCATCTTCAGTCATGGGCACGCTCATGTGCTCGCTTAGGCACCGACCGTATCTAAGTATAGTGCTACAAGTTGTGCTGATTATATCACAGTACTGCTAGCCTGCTCTAGAGGCTAACATAACTCCCTTCAAGCTACAACTGAGCCCCTTATACATAGTAAGCTTGGCAAGAATTGGACACGGGCAGATCACAGTCTATTTTATGTCATACACTAACGTGTACATGGCACGTGGAAGGCAGCGCTTGAACAGCTTGCTGCAAATGATATGCAGCCGAACGTTAGTACAGGGGCGAAAGCCAAGACATCTCGGGTCGTCGAGGGGACGTGCACCAAGTCTTATCTAAGACAAGCTCAGAGGTCAGACACGCACACGGGGTGTCATCTCGACCGCGTATAGCGTCGTATGTGGACGACCGATCAAGCACTGACACGCACGCTAGCATTTTTCCGGTTTTCCGGTTTATCCCATGAGGTAAAAATCAGCTTCGATGCAAACCTCAACAGCAACATCTCAGATGATCTCTATCTCTCGACGCGTCATTCCCAACTGGAGAAACCAGTCACTATCGGTGTCTCGTTGACCCATTTCGCAAACTTGGCAGATTTTGACGGCATCCATCAAGGGGACATCCAGCCCCTGGGCCATCCTCCAAAACCTTATTCGCAACCTCAATCTTAATAATACGACGTTTGTCCGCGCTTCTGCTAGCGCACAACCCAAGATAGATGCTAGCTCACCCAAAAAGGGGTCCAACTCGTATCGAGTCAGGCACAATACCCTTTCCCACCCGTTTCTGCCGTGTCGAGCAGACTCGACACTCAGTTCGGCTTAAAGGCAAAATGGACACTCCTACTTATTAAACTCTGTTTCCCCAAAGCCAAGAGGTCTTTCTCTCTTCTCACAGGTATTCCAACCTCGTAACCTAACCAGTACACTCGCTTTTTCACGACCGATTAATACCACACTCTTTTAATTCTTAATAATGTCTTCCATCATCCGCAACATTCTCGCGCTCAGCGCTGTCGCCGCCGTCGCTGTCGCTCAAGACCCGGCCCCCAAGCTCGACGCTCCCTGCGCCGATGCCGTCATCTTCATGGCCCGCGGTAACAATGCGCCGTACCACGATTGGCGTACATTCCCCTTCGCCGACGCTACATGCGCCAAACTAAGGGCTGAGGGCAAGACCTGCGACTACATTGAGGTTGTGTTCCCCAAGGGCGGCGACTACTGCCCACAGATTGAGCAGGGAGTCCGCAACGGTATCGCCCAGATCACTGCCTTCAACAAGAAGTGCCCTTGCACGCACCTCATCCTCAATGGCTACTCCCAGGGTGCCTGGATCATGGGAGACGTTCTTGCTGGACCTGGTGGATGCTCCCAATTCACCACTGGTCTAGACCCTACCTCGGCTCCTGGTAATGCTAGTAAGTATTCTCGACAGGACACACTCGAACCTTGAACTGTGCTAATCTGGTAACTTAGTTGCTGCTGCTCTCCTCTGGGGCGATGTCATGCATGTGGCTAACCAGCCATACAACGTTCTTGACGGCTCTGGTCTACAAAAGGACGGTCGCCACGGCTCCTCTCTTGCACGCCTGAACAAATACGCATCCGTCCTGCGCTCTTACTGCTCTAAGGGAGACCCCATCTGCGCAAACGGCGACGACGTCTCGAAGCACTTGAGCTACTTTGAGAAGTACACCGACGACGCCTCGACCTGGGCCGTTGGAAAGGTCAATGCCGCCGCCCCTCTATGTGCCGCTCCCACACCTACGCCCAGCGCTTCTTCTACTCCCGAAGCCTCGTCTGTTGGCGTTGCCGCTATTTCAACTTCAAGCGCTGCTGCTTCCTCTGGCTCTGCTGCTGCTTCTGGCTCTGCTGCTTCTGGTTCTGCTGCTCCCTCTGGCTCTGCTGCTTCCTCTGGCTATGCTGCTGCCTCTGGCTATGCCGCTTCCTATGGTGCTGCTGCTTCCTCCACTTCCCCCGCTCTTCCCCCTTACCCTACATCTCCAGTTTACGTTGCTCCCTTCACTGCTCCCCAGAAATACGACGATATGTGCCTTACCCGCATCAAGATCAAATACGTCTACGCTTAAGAGTAAGAAGGACGGAAGATGTAGCGAAGTAGACGTAGTGACAGCAGTAGATACGTGTAGATTGATAGAAGAGACTATAAAAAGGAGTGACCGTCGTGATCGACGTCTGTCTGAACTTCTGGTTTTCGTGCGTGATGCGTGTTTTTCGTCTGCTCTATAAGTGCGCTGTGAATTCTTGTAGAGCCCTGTGGTCCAATCTATCCATATCCTCAAACACTCAATATAATTATATAGTACACCCATGCTGATTTTTATGGCACATACGACCATAGGATTTCTTGGCAGCACGGAAACCCGTCCGATCTTCCCTAGTTAAACAGTTTACCGGCGGATTAGTAGTCAGGTGGGTGACCACTGGCGAATCCCCGCTGTCGTATGTTTTTGTTTTGCACTTTTCATTTTTTTTCACCCACTCTGCTGGTCACGTGGCACGGTCTTGGCATATCAGTTATCTCCACTTTCACAACGAATATCACAATGCTCATTATTTGCTTTTCTTTTACAAAAAGAAAACACACTCGTGGTTAGTTCGGGTGACAGCGTAGAGGCGATCTCGTCATACTTTCGTTCTCTGCATCTACAATTGAGCTTGATCCTGCTCTTATAAATTGTGATCTTCTAATCATATCATAAATATGCTTCAACTTTCTCGAGACTACATCCAAAATTTTCAAGTTCAAGACCTTGATGCAATTCTTGCCTGATCATTCCCTTGAGCATAAAGTGAAATCAGTGTGAAAGAGCGAGGTTGGTTCTTCTCTGTCACATGACGGCGATAAGGGGCGCTAAATTGCTGCACAGGCCACGCAGAATGCCCGCCTACGTCAGCCAGCAGGCGCGCCGACACACTCCGCTCCAAATATACAATATCCATAGCGTGGTTGACTATGAGGCTATACTAGTTCCAATTGATCTGGATTTCTTATTCATCACTCCATTAACTCATCGGCCTGCTGTCTGACTGAAGTAGATCTGCAGCCGTAAGCCGATAGTAACGTTGCACCACAGCCGCTATGCTACCAGAAAAGAAAATCGACTCGCTTGGCGCGCGTTTGGAGCAGTTCAAGGAACGTGATCAAGAAAGACGGATTGATTTAGACGTAGGAGAATATCGACATGCACTTTTCCCGTACTCCACTAACCCCCCCACTTAGAACCTTCTCGCCGAGTATCGTCAATTGCTCAACGAGTACAAAGTACTTAAGAAAGCCTACGAGGACATGATAACCAACACTATATCAAAGCCATTTACAGTGGGAACGCCTACTGTAAATGCAGCAAAAAAGCCGCTTGATTCCTATGTGCTTGTACTAGTCGATGGAAACGATTACATTGTGAGTTTTCAGCTTTGCATGGAAAGACTTGTCTGACTCTGCGTAGTTCAATGAAGAGCTCATCCACGATAAGGAAGAAGGCGGCATGCGCGCTGCTCGCAAGCTCAATGATGCTATAGAAAAGTACATACAAAGCATATCACAGACTATGCCCAGACGCGTAATTGTACGCATTTACGCCGATCTCACCAATTTGTCCAAGCAGCTCGCGAGGCTAAAGTTGACTGGCATGGAGAAGCGCTCTCTAGCGTCTTTCACTTCCGGTTTCACACGTGCCCTTAGTCTCTTTGACTTTGTTGATACCTTGGATGGAGAGGGTACCAGGATCAAAATCAGAGGTATAGTTGCTGACTTCCTATGACAACTATAAGATAACGACTAATATCCTGCAGACCAATTCAAGTTTGCGTCCGAAGATGCGGCCTGTAGTCACATTCTGCTCGCGGCCTGTAACGACCCGGCTTATCAGTCTCTACTCGTATCCTACAATGGTGCACGTGACAAGGTCACACTCGTACAAGGCGGCAAATGGCATCCGGAATTTCATCAATTCAACTTGGAGGTGACCCAGTTTCCCACAGTCTTTAGCTGGTCTGGAGTATTCTCTGCCCCACCAGTCAATAAACCGGCGACGCCCACTCCGTCCAAACAAAAAGCGCCATTGCAACAACCCATACCGAAACCTGGACTAGCGGCTCTACATAAAGAATCATGGAGAAGAAACGACTCTGTGAGCGTAGCAGAGTCTGCATCCAGTCGCTTATCACCTGCACTGACAAATGGACCACAACCTTCCCATGGGAGTTCATGGAGACGTAACGGTCCGGTGAGCGCAACGGAGTCTGCGTTTGGTGACTCATCACCTGAAGAATCAAATGACTTTGTGGAGCCCGAGCCTGAGCCTGCCCGATGGGACAGTCCACCTCCACGCGACCAAGCACCACAAAGCATGCCAAATGGACCGACCAAGAAGAAAAATGTGTGCAGACACTTCCAAAAGGGATTTTGTCGCGCTGGTGGGAGATGCAACTTCCCACACGGCCCCGGCAGTTTGACTGGTAGTGTCAATGGTGGCGATAGCGGCCAGGACTCCAAGCCAATTCTAAGCCCAACACTACACGCTCTCTCAAAATCATCCTGGGCACAGCCTCCCGCAGAACCACCTCAAGCTTCCCAGGTTTCCCCAACTCCCCTAGGTGATCGAAGTGGAATCTCGTCCGTCCTTCCCGAAGAGTCCGTACCAGGCTTCATTCCCGTGAACAGAAACCTTCAGCGCCTCGACCCGTACTACCCGCTGCCCTCCGCACAGGACTGGAAGGTGTACAACACGCGTTTTCATAAGTCTAAGCCATGCAATGCGTTCCATCTCGAGGGCAATTGCACAGCTTATGACTGCAAGTTTGACCACAGCGAGCTCGACGCACAAATTAGGCGCGTACTCGAGTACGTTGTGAAGCGCACTCCGTGTCCCAGGAAAAGTGAATGTAGAAGGAAGCATTGCATCTTTGGGCACTTGTGCCAAAAGGAGGATTGCAAGGGCCCCAGGCCGACGGGGCAGACAAAATGTTGGTTCAAGCCTGATCAGCATTATTCGCTTGAGGATTGTCAACTGATGAGTTTGGTGCCTGCAGAGGAGGAGGAGGAAGAGGAGGAGCGTAGTGTGATGGGCGGGGGATATGATGGAGGTAAGGGGAATGTTGGCGACTATATCGGGATGGAGCAGGTTGATTTGATGTGGTAGGTTGAGGAAGAGTAGATGGGTGTGATGATTGTACTTTTGTTGCTTTTTTTAAAAAAAAGGAGATTTAATGGATCTATCGACGGTAGTATACAAGATCCAATAGTCTGCATGAAGCATCAAATGTCATACATTATCACAGAATCAGTGGCTTGAATTGAAAATGGTGATACCATGTACAACTCTGATTTGAAAACAGCAAAATATGATTCCAATGATGTTCACTTCTCTCCCGTCGGCGCTTCAACAGGTCTCTGCGTCCCGTCCATCTCGACAACGCCCACGCCACCCCCCATGCAAATCTCCCTCTCACACGCCACCACCCCACGCTGCTGATCCCAAGCCTTATTCGCATCTTCATACACAACAGCATGATACTCAACCATTGACTGTTGCTGCTGCTGTTGCCGATAGGACTGCGCATTCTGCCCTGTCAAATCCCTGCGCCGCCTCCACGCCAGAAAAACCACAAAAGCGAGGAAACAAACGAAGATGCAAGCGCCAACTGTACCGCCTATGACCGCTCCTAGACTATTTTTCTTCCCTTCAGAAGAATTTGTCGAGGCTCTGTCCTCCGTCGCAGCAGTGGGAATGCCGGAAACAACTTCCCTCGTAGTCACAGTCGCGGTGACAGTCTTCCTTTCCCCGGTTTTTGTATTGCTCAATGATAGCATGCTCATGCCAGGGGAACGGTACGCAGTGCTTGTAAATGCTGTTTCGGCGCAACCATGCTGTGTCATTACCATGTTGTCGTAGATGAAATGCCATTGGTAGCATTCTTGCGCTGTGCTGGCTGTGCATTTTACGATTGCTTCTTCGGATGAGCAGGCGGTGTCTGTGCATGAGGCGGTCATGGCAGTGGATGCGATGCAGGAGGTGGCGAGTGTGCAGGGGGTGTTTGATGCTGGATTGCAGCAGCCGTGTATGCCGAAGAAGGTGTTTGTCGCGCATGTTTGGGTTGGGTTCGCGCATGTTATCGGGCTGTCTTTTTTCAAAGTGAGTAAGTTGATAGCTTCGAGTGGGCGAGGAAAACTGACCTGGTGATCCGGAGACGAAGCCGCATGTGTAGTCGCTTCCACTGGTCTGGCGCTTCAATAGAGGCAAGGGCAGCTGTGCTGCTGCTGTTGGTGCGGGACCCCATATATCCGCTGAAGGGACGAAACGTGTAGGCTCTGGTATCGATTTTAACAGCGCTGCTGCGTTTGCGATTGCTGGCACCAGAAAGATGAGGGTGAAAAGAGCAGTCGTCATTGTGTTTCCATGTGGTCGGGAGGTTCTTCTCTCAAAGCTATGTCGAAATGACGAGGGAAATGCAATAAGATAGAGGGTACATAAGTAAGCAGTATGGCGGAGAGCGTGCGGCGGCTGAGCGCAGTGAGAGCGAGGAAGAATACCCCAGCAACACATGCTGTAGCTAGGGTAGCTCCAGAGCTTCCCCTACCTATAGCAATTAGGCCATGTCCCTGGCGATCCAATCGAAAGCGGTATCGTGGTGCGGTCATGAGCAAATGTCACCGTAGCATGGGGGTAAGCGTCAGTATGAGCATGCAAGGCATTCCTCGCCCTCTTGCCAATCACACCTTGGCTATCTTGTCTTGGACTAGACAGTAGAGTAGCTGACCATTGATAGAACGATGACATTGTATATTTGTGCCGGATCAGGACAAGCGTAGGATCGCGCACTGGTAGAGGTGGTGGTGGTGTAGAGTGGGTGGGCCTGAGCGTGCATGTGGCGCAGATCAACAGGACGTAAATATAGCTAAAGTGGGCATGTTGAGCGAACGGGACACAGCATATTCATGCAAAATGACGAAGACGAGTACTGCTGCAATAATTCCTGGATGGCTGGAGGTGATTTGTAGCACGCCTTATTGGACATCGACATGCAAGTGCGAGGCTGACACAGATAAAGAGATGCTCTGCATGTGGGAGAATGTGTGGGAAAGAGTTGCATTGCCTCAACCAACACACGACGATTCGCAAAACGGGCGCTGTTGGAGGGTCTTGAGTGATGAGTCGTAGTAAAATGTGGTAAGCGCTGGCCCGATACAGAACAAACAAAGCCACAAATGGTCGTGCGCAAAGGGCGGACCTTGGAGTTTGGTCGCACTGGCCTAGTTTTCGTGTTGTGCCACATGAGGCTGATTGCGTGAATGGCTTGGCCTAGCCTGGCCTCTTCCTTGCTTCACAATTCTGCACGTACTCAGCACGTGATTATGGCTCAGGGTTCCAAGTAGAGATTGGTCTCAAGACAACATGTGCAAACGTCCGACTCTTCCTTAGCACGACCTATCTACAGCCTTTGTCTCCATAACTCCAAGTGATGATCCAAAAGCGATAAAACTCCTCCATGATGCTGTTTCGTGCGGCCGCCGTGGCGTGGGTATGAGTAGTGTACAAAGAGAACGAGATGCAGGCCGTCTAGTTGCGCTTGTGAGGGCCAACAATCTTGGGGTACATTCTCGAGAGGTGGTAGTTGATGTTGTTCTTCTTTTGGTTGGGGTCTCGCTGGAGTATTCGTTAGAAATCACATGCACATCAGCATATAGACGCAAGTGCACATACTGGAGCATCCATGCACTGGCGCAATTTCTGTTCAAGCTGTGCGCATGCTTGCATGCTGTAACCCGACGAAGCCCAGCATCCTAATGCAGACATGTCAGCCTGCGCCAATTGCAATAATAGATTTCCAACTGATATTATCCTCCAGCAAAAACATACCCAAAACTGAGGACATTGCGCCGAGGCATGGGTTCACCTCTGGCTTGTTTGGTCGTCGGACGCGGAGCTTGGGGAGCGGCGGGAGAGGGCGATGCGTAGCCGACTGAACAGCACTGCCTTGAGGCTTTGGTACCATGATTGTTGCAGAGTCGCCCGGGACGTGAATGTATTGCAATCAGATGTTGTTGTCGTCGTCGCTGTCGTCGTCGTCGTTGATCATCGGCGGGTCAAAAGTTTCCCGCAGCGGGCATGGCCTTTGCTTGGCGTGTGCGGAGCTGCCCCGTCGTCATCCCTGCTTTGCATGTTAGCGCCGTATCTTAGCCTTTGTTTACATACATACAGACAGCGCATACTTACACAGCACCCACACAACACCAACCCTATGCGACGATACTAACGGCCCTCACGAATACAGCCCCCATGTTTGCGCGTCCTTGAATCTTCTGTCCGTGTAGCATTCTTTTCCCCCTATCGACGTCATGACCCCCTCGCCGCGCAAACGCGCCACACCGACTGCCAAAACAACACTCTTCAACACCACCTGGAACGATGCCGATGCCGCCCTTTTCGATCCCAGCACCCTTCCTGTTGCAAAAATCCCCCGCGGCTGGGAGCGCAAGCAAGAGGTCAAGCGCATTGGCCAGGGAAAGGAGAAGAAGATCTGGCGGAGATTCAACCTAAGATCGCGTGCCGACAACACACCCCAGGACGATGCTGATGACGAGGAGCAAGATGCGCTCTCTAGACCCGTCAAAAGGCGTCAGCACATTAGCCCCAAGGCCATGGAGAAGTCCTCGACCAGGCCCAATGCAAAGAAACGCGCCTTCAAGGCCACGCGCTGGGACCGCAGGAAGAGCGTGCTGCCGAGTAGGCCTTTGACCAGCGCATGGCTATCTATAATCTACTAACGCACTTTCAGGAAAGCGAGCCACTCCTTTTGCTGACAACGAAGCAACCGGCGACGAGGGAGACGACCACAGCTACGACTTGACAGAAGGCGACAGTGCAAGCCTCAACGAGCCAGATGAGACCATGCAAAGCGAAGAAGACACAGTCGCAAACCCAGTAGACGCGCACAGGACGCCTGCTTTCGCATTCAACCTGGACGCAGCTGCCACAGAAGACCTTCCAGACCGCGAGAGCTTAGATAGGCACCAAGATATGGAGCAAGACACCGATCCTCGGTCTGCCGAGGATACAACACTTGCCAATCTGTTCCGTTCTCCTGCCAAGGTTTCTTACCCCGAGCTGCCACAGATTCAAGCCATTGAGGCGGAGTCAGAAGCAGCCATGGAAGACATTGTGGAGCAGCCCAAGGAGAAGACCAATGTCGACAAGATTGAGCTACGAGACCAAGATACAAACACTATAGACCAGACGCCTGAGCCTCTAAGTGAGATTCAGTACCCCGCCTTGCCAACCAATGAGATCAAGTCTTCGTCGCCTTCACCATCGCACGAAGAAGACGAGTCTAAGACAGAGGAAAGTCCCGAAGCGGCACTACCAATCGAGTCAGAAACAGAAGACGCAGAGGATGATGTAGAGGAGGAAGACACACCGAGCTCCTCAGAAGAACGCGATCCGGAAGAAGAATTCACTGAAGCATCGCTACAGCTAGATATCCTAAGGGAATATCGGAAAACAATACGGGAAACCTCTTCTACTGCCACACAAGGGGATGATCCCTTACACGAACAAGTACACGTTCATCAGATCGCCGAAGATGACTCCGAGGACAACTCCATGGACGATGAGGCCAGCCCTACTGATGAAGCCGCCACTGACAGCAATTCTGTAATATCCGAGGACCATGCCATGGACGAGGCACCTACAGAAGACATTACAGATGGCTTGGCACTCTCGTTGAGCACGTCGAAACCCGCCTCACCTACGCCTCGAAAACTTCATTCGCCTCCACCTCGCCTAGCCTCTAGTTTCGAAGATACCACTGTAACGGCCGCTTTCGACGATGACACGGCCATGCTCAAAGACTTTCTCAACCGTGCAGCCGCCAGCAAAGCTGAAAAGGCGGCCATCACCACACACCGAAGGGAGTCGTTGCAGAATCGTCGCGATTCGGATGTCGTTCGTCATGCTTTAGCCTCTCCCAGAAAGGCCCTTGAAGAAAAGGACCCCAACTCGCCAGCCAAACACAACATCGATTTGACGCTTGATTTTTCGCAAACGCCCACGCTGAGCGCACCTAACGAGGCTCTGCCATCACCTACACCAGCCGCAACAGTACCAGAAGACACAGACGAAACGAACGAAAAGACTACAAGACGCTCATCGAGAGCCAAGAAGTCGCGGCTACCTGCTCCGGCGTCAACCGGACCGGCACCAGCACCCAAGATTGCCATCCGCCGCAATGACGGAAACGAAGTGGTTGTTCTGAAGAAGGATGATGCAAAGGTCCTGGCAGACTTGACCCGCGCAAACACACGCAAGAATAAGCAAGGTGCATTCGGTGTTATTGTTCGTTTGATGAAGGCTCAAATGGATGCAATGACCCTACCACCAATTGATGAGACCCCTAAGGAAATTGTCGTCGGCAAGAACGTACGTTGGGATGAGCAGCTAGCATACTACCAAGAGAACCCGGATACTATCGCCAATGCCCTAGCTGAGGCAGAATCGCTGGCTACCCCAGACGAGTTGAGCTTCTCAGACACTGGGTCTGAGTCAAAGAAGAAAAAGAAGGAAAAGACGAGCAAGACTTCTACACCAAAGATCCGGAGAGTCAGGGGCCTCGGCACTGCCAACGGCACTCCAGCAAAGGGTTTGATCGCTCCATCATCTCTCCTTCCGGAAGCAGTACAAGAAGAAAAGGAGACAAGCCAGGACAAAGCAACACGGCAAAAACAACCGCAAATACCCAAGCCAAAAGTGGCTAAGGTAAAGAAGATGCCCGTCGCACCCACCTCTATCGATAGCAGCGTTTCAAGCGTTCCCGAAACCAAACTGCCATCTCTAGACGTAGCACCCGTCGGCGTATCATCCTCATCACTCCCTACGCAACGCAAAAGCCGCCTCGCTGCACCCAAAAAAGTCATCTTACCACAATTGACTGGCTCAGGTGAGAAAGAAAACTCTATCCGCGCTGCAGGCTTGACGGACGCCACGCCGAAGAAAGGAATCCCGGCACTGAAAGTCATGGTTGCTCATTCTAGTATTGCGACACCAACATCTACTGGTATGGAATCGGGCTTACCGCGTCGACGGGGGAGGAAATACTAGGGTTATCTGTTCTTGCTCTCACTTGATGGACTTCTTTTCTCTGTGAATATATATATTTCGTGGGTGTTTTTTGTTGGGGCTGTTTCAAGAAGAGCATCGTATTCGTTGCCATTTGTATATTGTTCTATACCATTTCCTGATCTTTTATGGGAGGCTCTTCGGAACGAAGAGGGAAAGTCATAGAGAGGAGTTAATGGGTTGGTCTTGTTTTGCCTGGGTGTGCATATCAATGAATCATGGTATATCCTTCTTTACTATTTACTTATCTTCAAATATATTTCACTCGTGCAATGAAAGTGTAGGCAAGGAGTTCAGAACATAAACCCCCTTTTCCTTTCTACTATCCACATTACTTCATCACGAAAACTAATTATATCCGCCAAGAAATCGTTCTCGAATCCCTTACTCTCCCAAAATCAACCAGAGTATCCAATTGCTAGAAAACAATTCATCATCAATATTGATTTTCTTACGATTTCTACGGCTAGAAAAACGGATTTTTTTCCAAGTTTTAGTACCAGAAAAGCTTTTTTTCGATTTTCTCCTTGATTGACTACTAGTTATAAAAATAATTTTCAAGCAATCATACTCAGTCACTTCAGATAGTCTTCCGTATCTGCGAAAAAAACTACGATTAAAAGAAAACTAAAGTCGTTCAATGCCCTAACTGGAAATTTGACCACAAATTCTCTTTACGCAACCAAAGGGGTTAAGAGTAAGTAGATGGTGAGAAATCACATGATTTAGAAGAGTTACTTTCATGACAAATTTCATTACTTTTCCTCATTTGCTATGCAGCTGCTTTGAATAAAGCTTCCTTCCCTTTTCCACCATGCGCCTTTTCAATAAAACCGAATTCCCTTTTCCCGCCATGCATTCCGCTTCATAATACCGACCAGACATTCCCGCCTTCAGATTTCACACGTCTCACACATTTCCCTTGGCATCGTATTTCTAATGACATGCATGCTCATGTGCCTCAGACATGCAACTCACTGGTCTTGGTGTTCTCGATGTAGTTCTTGTACTTGGCCAAGTGCTTTTCAAGGTCATCACACACCTTCTCAACAATTCGCTCGCTGCGTCCGATATACAGCTTGCTATCCATCATCTCATCGAGCTCGCCCCAAATAGGCTTGAAGAACTCAGTCTTGCGGATGCGCTCGACAAGATCGTTGGCCTGGCCTTCATTCTTGACCTGGTAACCTGCTTCGTGCGACAGCACGCGGATTTCTTCGTGGGCGTCTTGGCGGGAAGCTCCCTTTGCAACAAGGCGCATGATGATAGACTCGGTGATCATGAAGGGGAGCTCGGCCTGAATGCGTGCATCAATGCGCTTGGGATATACGACAAGACCAGAAGTCACATTGTCGAGCGAGAGCAGGATCGCGTCGGCGAGGAGGAACATCTCGGGAATATCCATGCGACGGACGGCCGAGTCATCGAGGGTGCGCTCAAAACCTTGGTCCGCGTGTGTCTGAGCAAAGGCTGCGTGCTTGCCCAGGAGTGCGCGCGACAAGCTGGCGACGCGCTCCGAACGCATGGGGTTGCGCTTGTAGGCCATGGCCGATGAGCCGATCTGGGTGGACTCGAAAGGCTCCTCAAGTTCCTTGTAGCTCGCCAGGTTACGGATGTCGCCGGTGATCTTCTTTGCACTCGAACCAAGGCCGCAGACTGCGTTTGCGACGATCAAATCAACCTTCCTAGTGTACGTCTGGGAAGAGACTGGGTAGCAAGACGGGAATCCAGTCTTCTTGCACAGCAGCTCGTTGAGTTGATCGCACTTGTCGCCGTCTCCCTTGAAGATTTCCAAGAAAGAAGCTTGCGTTCCTGTAGTACCCTGAGCACCGCGAAGTAGCAGACGCTCACGCACGCGCTCGAGGTCCTCGAGGTCGAAAAGCAGATCCTGGGCCCAATGAGCAGCGCGTTTGCCGACAGTGATGAGCTGGGCAGGCTGAAGGTGCGTGTAGGCAAGTGCTGGCTCGGACTTCCACTTCAGGGCAAAGGAACGGAGGTTGGAAATGACCTTGGCGAGCTTGGGAATGAGAAGATCCAGAGCATCGCGCATCAACAGAAGCTCAGCGTTGTCAGTCACGTAGCAGCTAGTTGCCTTGTATTGTGTCAGCTCTTGCATCCTCAGCAGCAACATTGTAAACACGATCGACTTACTCCGTAGTGAATGATTCCTGCAGCGGCAGGGGCAACTTGACCGAAAGCGTGAACGTGGGCCATGACATCGTGCCTCCTCAGCTTCTCCTCAACAGCAGCGACAGCAAAGTCCTTCTCGGTGAGAGTCAAATGCTCTCGCATCTGAGTCAATGCTTCATCAGTGATGCCCTCGACGCCGAGCTCCTTCTCAGACTCTGCAAGGTAGAGCCAGAGTTTGCGCCAAGTTGAATGACGATTCTCCTTGGAGAAGAGGTGCGACATCTCGGAAGAGCTCCAGCGGCCCGTCAAGGGCGTGGTGTAGGTGCCGGAGGCCATGGTATGTGGGGTAGTTGTAGGTGCTTTGTGGTTGACAGGTGTGGGTTAGCAGTGTGCCGGATCGTTCCTTATATAGGTAAGGGACTAGTGTTGAAAGTGAGCAAGGCTATGTCACTGAACCAAACCTCTGTGAGGAAGTGATTGTGAGAAGTGAAGATTGAAACTGCGTAGGAGCTCACTTAAGTAGTAGTGTCCGCGTTAAGCCCAATCTAGTAACCAGGGCAGGAGGTATATCGGCAGTGGCGTTCACTATGGATATGAAAGCAGATTCTATCTATTGTGTACTTGCGCCAATCGCGGTGAATCTATTATCTGTATGTTGGGCAAGAGTGATGATCTCACGTGTAGTCAAAAAACTTTTGGACCTCGCTAAACCCCACATCACTACGCATTGCACCATTGTAATTGGAAACGCATGTCCATGGTCCGTTATACCGAATGTCGCAGGTCGTCCTAATGCCGGCCTTTCACAAATCGTATCTACAGGATTGATACCAATGAACAGTCTAAGCAATCTGAGATTTCTTCCGCCACCTTGTTGGGTTGGTTGCAGGGCGCGCCTTCGACAACTTTTCTTGGCATCCAGGTACCACCTACCTAGAATTTTGTAAATCCCGCACCCCTTCCATCGGCGCTTGCCTTGCAAGTTTTTGGCAGCTGATGTTGCAAAATTAAATGAAATACTGTGTAAAGTAGCATGAGTTGAAACCCAATGGTTTCATTTCTACGCCATCGGTCCATTCATGTATTCGACGGTAGTACTATGTACGCAAACATAGCCTGGACCGTGCTATCTCCCCTCCCCTTGGGTACTCCACAAAATTCTCTTCCCCAAGCGGGCGTTCATGCGGCTCTGCCCAACTCCACAATTATTCCCGTCTCCGCGGGCTCATAGTGCCGGCCCTCGCCACACGTCGCGATTGATCTTGAATAGGTTGCTCTGCTTGTGAGGGAGACTGATCTCGCGCTCTTTGTAGAAGCCGGCTTCTTGAAGATAGTTTGCAAGCCTATAATCATTAGTATGGTGTTCCGACAGCAACTTTCCTGGCGCAATACTTACTTTTCGTTGTCGACCCTTGGCTCGAGCATGACTCTTTCAGTCCGGTTGTCCGCAAGCCAACAGTAGTGGACTAGCGCGCTTAGCCATATCCTGATCCTATGCGGACCCCGAAACTCCTGTTCGCCCACCAAACAATGAAAGCCTCTATCGTAATCACCAACTATAGGCAAATACTTGCCAAGGTTATCCTCCTTGACCCAATAGATCTCAAAGTAGCCAAAAGGTTTTCCATCCCAACACCCGATGACAGGGAAAGAATTTTTCGACCGCAAGCCGTTCTTGAGAAATTCTTCCTGGTGCGACTGAGGGCCTGCTTCACCCCAAAAGTGTGAGACGCGGGCATCGTTCATCCACTTGTGCAGGTATTCCACATCAGACATGCCATTGTTCGCCGCAGAGGTCGGGGAATCGGGTGCGGCAGTGCCACTCAGTCGATGCGGATTAGGCACCTGGTCAGACACAGGACCTTGATGACGCACTGCCTTTGCTGAAAGCGAAGCCACACGGAATGATAGGTATTGCCCAACGCTAGGAATGTATCTCGTGTATAGTACCTCACCCTGCCGCGGTGGCTTCGGACGTATGGGGTGACGGGTATTGTTCGTGAAGACATACTGCGCTGGGGGCGGAGGATAGTAGGTGGGTAAGTGCGAGCTCGAGTGGAAGGGACCCGGTGCGGTGGGCGACCACAGGCCTTGTGAGACCTGCTCCGTCTGCTGTTCTTTTTTCGAGTCAGCTACAGCGGCGGGTGACGCTGGTCGCGAAGGATACGGTGAAGCTGTTGGAAAGGGTGTGGCCAACGGCGAAAGTGTAAAGAGGTAGATTCTGGGATCCAACTGCCAAAAGGTTCTCCGGCTAACGAACATGCGCGACCAGCCTTCGGGTGAGGATTCGTCTTGGGCGCAGCCCACTGTTGAATCCTCGGTGGCTATAAGACCCATGCGCTCGAGCTTGGGCAGCACGACCCTGCCCTTGAACACGCCTTCTCTGTTGATGTTGATGCGCCACTCTCCTTTGGGCTTGCCTGCATCAGCCGTGTTCTTGGACAGTGTGTTTGTGACCTGCAGCGTTGGCTCGGGCTGGTGGAAATACCAGTACAGTGTCGCCCACAGCATCATGGCGATTTGGCGCGTCGGCGACGCAGCGGGCCTAAACTCATTGCTACTCGGATTCGAGATGGACGATATGTAGAGATGGTCGCCAGTTAGTGTTGGTCGCTTGAACCGATGCACACGACGCGGAGGAAATAGGTCCTCTTCACCCCCCTGCGGCTGCAGCTGTTGCTCATGTTCTTCGCTGGCAGCTTCATCTTCCGAATTGAGCACGACTGTCCAACCAGGCGGGAAATGCGAATGGGTTTGTATGTCGCTGGATTTAAAGAAAAGACCACCAAATACCGGCGTTACTGTGAGATTCTGGCCGTTGGGTAGGTGGACAACGTTGACAGGTGCCATGATGACGTTGGCGGGGTAGAAGAATGGACGAGTCGGGAGCGTAGACTACGGCCAAAGTCGAGAAAACGCAGGGAGCGGTTCAATCAGCCTACATGGCGTGAGACGGCAGAGAAGTTTGAATGACTGATTAGCAAATCATTCCAAATTGAGCCCACAAGAATGTCTTCTCTGCAAGCACGCGACACTCAAAATGTGTCGCCTCCCGTCCCCCAAGGCTCTTGACTGGTCCAATTGCCCGAGAACGGCCGCGCAAGGTTGGCTGGTTGTACAACATTGAGGGAACATGGCGGCAGCTCTTGTGATGGGCTGTTATTATCTGCAGTCGAGGCTCTACAATGATATGCATGTACATGGATCAGCTCATCGCGACTGATGGCCACAATGCATTCATACCATTCAAGTAGCGCGGCATCATTGGTGGGGGACCCATAGCCGTTGCAAGGGCGAGGGGGAGCTCCAAAGCTCGGCGGTCGGCATCTTCTGCTATGACGAAATGTCTGGCGATAAATTAGCAACATCCCCAGAGCCCCAACAGCAAGACACACCACCGTAACACCACCTGACAAGCCCAATTGACTTGCTACCCCCATCAATTGTAGCTACAATGAACACCACTCTTCTCCGCACATCCGCCCTCCGCTCGGCTGCCCGAGCCGCCGCGCCCGTCGCCTCGCGGGCTGGACTGGCTGGTGCCACTTTTGTTCGCGGAAAGGCTACTCTGCCCGACCTCCCATGTATGTCTATTCATCCTATCAACTAATAAGTTCCTTTCTTGCTCTAACAAGGCTACAGACGACTATGGCGCGCTCGAGCCCTCCATCTCGGGCAAGATCATGGAGCTACACCACAAGAACCACCACAACACCTACGTGACCTCGTTCAACAACTTCAGCGAGCAGATCGCCGAGGCCAAGCAGAAGCAGGATATCCAGGCTCAGATTGCCCTGCAGCCCCTCATCAACTTTCACGGTGGTGGCCACATCAACCACACTCTCTTCTGGGAGAACCTCGCGCCCACCAACCAGGGTGGTGGTGAGCCACCATCTGGCGCTCTCGCAGCTGCCATCAACACCAACTATGGCAGCCTTGACGCTTTCAAGGAGAAGTTCAACACCGCGCTCGCAGGTATCCAAGGCAGTGGATGGGCATGGCTGGTACAGGACACGCAGACTGGCGGCATCCAGATCAAGACATATGCCAACCAGGACCCTGTGGTTGGCCAGTTCCGTCCCATTCTCGGTGTCGACGCGTGGGAGCAGTAAGTCCTCACACAGCTTCGATGCAAAGACAAGTGCCATACTAACGTCATGCTAGCGCTTACTACCTCGACTACCAGAACCGCAAGGCTGAGTACTTCAAGGCCATCTGGAACGTCATCAACTGGAAGGCGGCCGAGAAGCGTTTCAAGTAAGCGTTTGGACCCACCGCAAAGGCAGAGCCGATAGCTTGTCAACTGGCTGGGCCTTTTGGACACAGCAGCATCTGGCCTAGTAATGTGTATATACCAACCTGGGTTGAATACTAAGAACCATCACAACAATGCCTTTTTTATGATTCATCGCTCCATTAGTTGCTATGTAACGCTTTTATCCCATATTAAGTCCCTTTTGTTCGCACATATACGGTACCAAGTCCTTCTAATCCCTAAACGCTGACATGCAGATAAATATTGTGCTGTTAGAAAAAACTCTTTGCATGCAGGATAGAAAAAGAAGAACAACAAAAAAAGACAACGCTATGCTACGCTATAATATCTCCATATACTTCCATCCCAGACGCTGGTAACGAAAAATAGAAACATGATACTCGACGCCTAAACAGATATTCAGACTACGAAAAGGACAAGGGAAGAAACCAGCAAACAAAAAAGACAGCGCGATCAGTTCCTAATGCCCGACATCCACCGATCAATCTGGTCTCTCTGTCTCGGATCCATGGGCGGTCCCATCATCTGTCCTGGCATCATACCCATGGGCATTCCCATAGGCATTCCGCCACCCATACCTCCCATTGGCATACCACCGCTCATGGGCATCTGCATCTGCATGGGCATTTGCATACCGCCCATTCCATTCATTTGCATGGGATTCATCTGCATGGGCATTCCGACTCCACCGCCCATCATGGTACTTTGACGCATGCCGCCACCCATCATACCCATGTTCATTCCCATTCCCATTGGCATGCCCATGTTCATCCCCATGCCCATACCACCGCCCATCATGGGCTGCTGCATGGGCATGTTCAAGTTGGGTGCGGACATCATTCCCATGCTGTTCATGCCCAGCATACCTGGTAGCTGTGGTTGCGGCTGCGGTTGAGGTGGCGGTGGTGACGGAGATCGCGGAGCGTTGAGTTTGGAGATACTAGCAGCCATCTGCCCGTTCGTGATTGGATTATGGGCATCCTTGTAGGCCTGGATCTTCTTGCCCAAAGGAATATTGTCATCGTCGTCATCCTTTTCCTTGTCGCCGATGCCTGGGACCAGAGGATCCATAGGTCCATAACCAGAGGTTCGCCGATATGCCGTGAGACGTTCCTGCTTTCTTCGCTCCTCGTCGACAATGTTTTGGCGCAGAAGACTACCTTGGGGGAGGTTCGAAATCAGTGCTTCGTTTGACACCTTGCGCGCTTGGTAGTGAGGATCAAGTGGATTGGCAGAGAGAATGTCTGCGAGAGAAGAGGCACCACGTAACATGGGACGCTGGCCAGCGGATGGTATCTGGTCACCACGGGCCGCCGCCTCAGCCTGGAGGCGGGCGCGGCGCTGACCAAGAGTCTCCTCCTCTTCCTCCCCAGTACCTGGGGCAACCGCGGCTTTGTGTGCATCCTGGGCTTCATCATGGCCTTCTGAAACACCGAGTTTGCTCATCATCTCAGCCGCAAAATCACCGCTCACGGTGCTCTTGCGAACATCATCTCCCAAGGCCGCATCAAGCTGTTGCTTCTCCCTTAGTCGACGCATACGCTCAGCCAGCGTCTCACCCTCCTCTTCCTCTGAGATGGGATCAGCCATGATGTCTGGAACCGCAAGATTCGGTTCATGGCCAGGTTGTCCGGGCTGAGGAGCCTGGTGAGGTCTCGGGTCAGCCCCACGAAGCCTATTTCGCCGACGACTCAAGGGTTCGTTGTCCTCCATTTCGCGCTGCTCAATCAGTCCCACAATCTTGCGTGGCGCATAGTTTGGCGCAGCTTGTTTATACAAAACACCCAGCGGTACATCGTCCTCGGAATCATCATCTTCTCCAGGGGCTTCCCAGGCAAGATTGACCTTTTTGCGGATCCTGCGCTGCTTCTCAGCTTCGGCTACATCGTTCATTTGAAGCAAAGTTTGGCGACCGTCAATCAGACCTTGATCCATCAGGGTGACGTAGTTCATGTTTCTTAACTTTTGCTTTGCTTGTCGCAGCTGAAGTTCAGCTAGCAAGGTAGTTGGTGCACCAAACTGGGGCTCTTCCTCTTCTTCTTCTGATTCTTCGTCCTCTTCCTCTTTATCTTCATCACTCGAAGTATCCTCGTGTTCACGGTCATTGTCATCAGAGTGGCGATTCGGGTTCTCCTGGGAATTTCGAGAATGGTTCAAATCATTTGCAGTATGAGGGCCTCGTTCTTCTTCATCACAATGGTCCAAGTCGTCACTTAGACTCATCCTGTTTTCACTTGCCTTGACCAGAAGTAGGTTCATATCAGCCGAGCTATTGCGTTTCTTCAGTTTCTTGAGGCGTTCTCCATTTGCATTGTGATTGGTGTCGAGTATGTTGAAAGAGCTTCGCCTCCTGGTTTGTTGCAGTGTTGGCGGCACTTCTGGCAATTTGGAGCTCTTGCGTTTGTGATCTACACCATAAACCTCACGGGTTACATCGCCGCCAAAAGGATGGTCGGTAAACGCAGAGACTGGTGCACGTGCAGATGCATCCAGGATGCTTTCGAGTGTGTCTTGGGCAGATTCACCTTTGACGGCAAATTCCTGCGAAGGAGCCACTTGATTGTCGAAGTAAGCACTTGCTCGCAATTGAGGCGGTAGGCCCATTAAACTCTGTCTCGTCTTCCTCTTATTTGCCTTGGAGGTCTCCATGATGTTATCTGGATTCATGGGCATCGATTTCCTGTTTTCCGCCTGCATCGATTCAAGAACTTGTGTCCGGCGCCGGGCTCTTGTATCACTTGGGGGTAGTTGTGACAGACGTTTTGGAAGGTTGAGCATTTGTGGAACAGGGGCAGGATAGAAGACCATGCCATCTTCAGGTGGTGGAGCGCCATAAGACTGATGGCCTGAGTTATTATCCGTAAATGAGTGGCTGTAGGAGGATGGCCGGCTATGACGACGGCGACTGTGGGGTGACGATTCCGACTCTTCTTTGACAGTATCTGGGCAGTGAACACCATCAAAGTCTTGCCATAGTGTGTGTGCTTGATGGATAGTATCGGTTGAGGCCGAGGTGGGTGGTCGGTCAGGGAGGTTGCGGTGGTCTGGATACTGATCATGCATGTCTTCAGAATAGTGACCGTCAGGGTGCCTAGGAGGTGTGCCCGTCATGACGGTATTGCGCAAGTCTTCGGGCAGTCCATTTGCAACATCATCAAATATCCTAGTAAAGGACGAGACTTTTCGCTGTGGGGGTGATACTGAATCACGGTCCTCGGGGGGCGGAGCAGTTGGAGGCAGTGTGGGTGACGATGTTTGGGCAGCATAGTATCTTTGTCTGACTTTAACTTGCTCTGGATGTACAACCTGGCCCAACCGTGACGCTTTTGATTCTGATCGCTGACGCTGGTTCGAAGTCGGAGGTTTAGGCAAAGATCCCGAGCGCAAAGAATCGGCGGGTGACGTGATGTAACCCCCTGGAGAGTAACCCCCCCATCGTGCATTGCCGTTCAGGTCGACTATAGAGTTGGCATGGGAACTGATGGAGACGCCGCGGCTCCTGTTGCTAAGACGCCTAGTAAGTTCTTCACCCGTCTGGAGAGAGCGTAGCGAGGAACGTCGGCTGTCTGTCAGCTTGAGTTCCGAGTACGTCTTACGTATCTCTTCCTGGAGGTCGGAGCCGGCCTCGCTCATGCGCTCGGCATGTTCCTCGAGACGCTCAATGTTGCCCAGGTAGGCCCCTTGCAGCGATTGCAGATCGGGGACTGGGTGACGGATGTCGACGTTGCGCTTATCGGGAGAGCGTATGGGGACTGGCTGCGAGGGTGGAGGCGTGGAGGCCATGGCGGACAGCCGGCAGCAGGGAGACTGCTGGACAATGGGAGTCGGTACTTATGCGTACCTGGTTGTCGTAAAGGGGAATCTGGCAATGTTTGTTGCACCGACACCGACATGGATGGAGGGTGATAGGGTCCCAACCAAACCCCTTCCAATAATAGCACGCGTACCGGCCAGGGTGACGCGACGCTAACCGCCTGCTTGGCGCGGTCACGTTACGAGCGTAATACTTGTACGAGTGCCTTAACTCCGCATCCCGCAATTTTATCCACTGCCAATGCCATCACTGCCTATACACACTCGCGTCGTGGACACAGGGAGAATCGCAATCGTGTACTTTGTCTGAGACATTGCAAGCTCCTGCTGTGACCACCTGGCGACACGGCCACTGCCCTGTGCACTGCACGCGCGACGAGCAATCGATAGTTGGTTCCCTATACGACAAGACCAATAAATCAGTCTCGCATTCATCGCCACCATGGACGCCGACGGTGGCAAGCGGAAGCACAGCTTCAGACAGCAGCCGAACAAGCGCGCAAAGGTCGAGGATGGCAACGCGCTCAAAACGGGCTTTGGCGCGAAGATGCTTGCCAAGATGGGATACAAGGGCGAAGGTGGTCTGGGAAAGGAAGGAGCCGGTATCTCAGAGCCCATCCAGGTCGTTAATCGTGGCACCAAGGGAGGCATCGGTTCAGTGGCGGAGAAGAGTGAACAACAGAAGCGCGAGGAGCGGCGCAAGGCTGAGGAGAATGGCGAAAAGTATGTCGACACGTCTGAGGAGGAACGCGAGGAGAGGAAGAAAAGAAAAGCAAAGGCTAGAGGCGAGGCACGCACCGCAACTCCCCGGCCCAAGAAGACTTTGTACGAGTTGGAAGCTGCTGGAATGCATGTACCGCCCGTACTGCAGTCCATCATCGATGCCACGACAGGCGCATCTACTCCTGCTTCTGGCGTATCGCTTCGTGGCCCTGACATTGTTCCCTTTGAAAATTCGTTGCAAGCACGCGTGCGGAGAGACCTGAACAGCTTCTCGGAAGCCTTTGAGCAACTACAAATCGAATCGCAGTCTATTCCACCTCAGGAATATGCACTACAGAAGGAGCTTGAGGCTTTGGAACGACAAATGGACGAGCTTGAGGATCTGCATTCACGAATGCAATCATTGCGTATTGGTACATTTGGGGCTGTCTGCGAAGGGCTCAAGAGTCTGCGCGCTGCATATCCGTCGAAGCCACTGCATCGCGAGTCAATCGCTGTCATACATCCACACTTTTCCAAGGTCACGGCTTCATGGGACCCGCTCGAGGATGCGCTTGAAGATATGGCAGCAGCCTTTGCGGAACTGGCCAACATCATACAGCCTCGAAGCAGAAGAATCGTGTCCCAGGCCTACACTCATCCTTCAGAAGCATTGGTCAATCAGAATGCAGTTGAAGAGGAAGATACAATCAAGCGTGGAACTACATCAGCATACGAATCTATGATGCTGAAATTGTGGCTTCCTCCTGTCAGCTCAGCAGTGACACAATGGGATGTGAAGCATCCGCGTCCCCTATTGCGTTTGGTAGAAGTGTGGACACCGGTTCTTCCACCCTTTATAGGCAAACGAGTGCTTGAGCAGGTTACGCGGAAACTATCGACTTCTATTCATGAATGGAATCCTCGGAAGTTCAAGAAGAGCCCACACACTTGGGTGATTGAGTGGCTTCCGTTCCTCCGGCCTGCAGATCTGGATCCCAAGGGATCTGGGCTTGTTGCTGAAATTAGGCGCAAGATTCGTCACGCACTGCACTCGATTGATCTCTCCAAGGGACCATTGCCCGGAATGGACCAGTGGCGAAGGCTTTTTGGCAAGGGCGAGTTTGATCATTTGCTTACCTCGCATCTACTACCACGCTTGGCAGCCCATGTACGAGACTACTTTGAAATAGACCCTAACGAACAGCAAGACGTCGCACCGCTGAAGGCTGTGTTTGCATGGAAAGGGCTATTATCGAACGAAGCCATTGGCGAGTTATTGCGGGCGCATTTCTTTCCCAAGTTTCTCGCAGTCCTTCATCAATGGGTGTCAAGCGAAGAGGTGGTGTTTGAGGAAGTCCGGGCTTGGCTTGGGTGGTGGAGGAACGACGTGCGTAATGAACTGAGTAACGTGCTCTCTGTGGAATTGGGCTGGGAGAAAGCATACTCGCTTGTAAACCAAGCAAAGAGACTTGGTGAGGCGAGGTTTACAGATCTCCCGACGCCTCAATTCGAGAGTACTGGACCGTCTGTAGAGACGGTACGACCGGCCAAACCAATCAACAAGGAGCCAGCACCATCTGCGCCGCCAGCACAAGAACACAGGTTCAAGGACACGGTAGAGCGATTTTGTGAAGAGGAGAATCTCCTCTTGATTCCGCTACGTGAAGCACACGAGCAGACGGCCCTACCGCTCTTCCGCATCACGGCAAGCGCGACGGGACGTGGAGGTGCGGTGGTCTATCTCAAGGATGATGATGTGTGGGTGCAGAACAAGAAAGATAAGAGCGTGTGGGATCCGATAGACCTGGGCGAAGTGCTCATTGCCAAGGCCGAGGGCAAGTGAAGCTGACGGCGTTATCGGTGTGCTCGGGGAGAGTTTGGAGTGGAAGATGCAATTGGGTAGTGGGATTCTGGCAGGGTAAGCCTCTATAGCCTCTGATGGGCAGATATGTGTGCTAGCATTCGCTAATCCAGCATCGGTCTGATGCATGCCTAGGCAGTGATAGTGACATGTCGGCACGCGGCCGGACGTAGGTATGTACGTGGACTGGGAGTGGAAATGGAAGCGGCCGTCATCATGTTGACGGGGTTCAGAGCACTTGTTTCCCCTGACGACTTGCGTGTTAGTGACTCACCCGTGTGAAATCAGACGCGCGTAAGGCGTCCTCTTGAAGTGGCGGAGGCTTGCATGAATCGTTGAAATGCAAAAGATACAGCCAATGCAGCGTGTGGTCGCAGAAAGACGGCGGTGATGCGGTGGTGCGGGTGGTCAATGGGGGCCCTGGGAGCTTAGTACTGCAGGGCGAGTCGGTGAGGCACGGCACATGATTGCATGACAACGTGGGAAATGTGACGAGGATTGCGGAGAATTTGCAACCCACGAGGCCAGACGCAAGGCGTGAAGTGACAATGGTGGACTGGCGAGATGGTTGATGATTGAGATGCTGGCACTAGCACAGGCGAGGCGATGTGACTGCTAGTGCCATGGGCCGACGGTGTGCTGATTGGCTTGGCCGGGCGCTTAGCAAGGCTCTAGTCTGGCCAATGGGAGCGCGGGGGAGCAGGAGCATATTCTTCGACGCTGCAGGCACAGGGCACGCCGTTCATGCATGCGGACCGTCTCCTCCCGTCGACTGTGCCTCGAGTTGGCAGCAAGATCGCCCTCGGTCCTGGAGGCTGGGTTGCATGCACTTGTTTCAAGCCAGGTCGAGCGTTGGGGGCGAGGCGGATAAACATGTTTCTTCGCCGAATGCTTGTCTCGACGACCAACTGCCGACACATGCGGAGAGAAAAGGCCATGACGACGCCGGCACCACGCTCATGCCCACACGGAAAGCCTCATCACATTCTATTTTGGCAACAGCCACTCGGAGAGAACAAGAGCAATAGATTGGCATGGCAAGCCATTGCATTCATCGGCCTCGGTCCCGTCTGGGCCTAGCGCACAGCCAAGCGACCCCGCTCCAGCGGCTGATTGAGTGCATCCACTGGACGTCTGCATGTCGCTCAGCATAGCGCCCGCCCAATCACGCCCCCGCCTGGCCTCTTCCAAGCCATCACACCCAGTCGTCCGCCTCTTGTGCCCGACCACTTGCAGACCGCTGATCAGAGAGTACTTACCCGCTGCGAATCCCTCTTCATATCACCATGTCGCCTCCTGCTACGCTCTGCATTTCACCCGGTTCCTCACTGTCGGGAAGTGGGCAACCAACCTGTGTGACTGCAGCCCTAGATCATCGCTTATCCTGGCAGTGCGAGAAAAGATAGACGTACCCTCTCTCTTTCCTATTTCTTTGCTTATATTTCCTTGACTCCATCCCACCCGGAGCCATGCTCGAAAGGGTTCTTCCACCAGCCCTGTTATCCCTCCTCCTTGTTGCAACTGGTGTTTCTGCTGCACCCTACGACTTCACAGACAACTACCGCGACCCCGCCCCGGCGCCTGAAGACGGCCCTCCTGCTTCATATCACGCTATCCGAGACAAGAGTGTTTTACCCTACGAAATCTGTGGTATCGTTGGCGGCTACCTCTTCACAGTACTTATTTGGGGCGTCTTACTCCTCACTGTTGGCAGAAAGATGAGACGAAAGGCACTCGCGCCGCCCAAGGAGCTGGAGCTGGAATTGGAAAACAAGCCAACAAGACCGACCATCAAGACTCCTGGTCTCACATCACCCCCACTGTCTGCACGATCGTGGTTGAAGAAATTCAAGAAGAACGACTCTGTTCCCAGCAGCCCCCAAAGCCCTGTCGTCCAATCGCCCAATTCTTTTGATCAAAAGGTTCTCGACGCTCATCGCGACCAAGATCAAGCCGACATGGAGCGCCTCTATGCTGCCGTCATGGAGTTTGACGCAAAGAAACAATCCGCCAGAGCCAGTGTAGACGAGGCAGAGCCTCTCCCACCGCCTACTGACCGGAGAAGACCGTCGGCCATTAGTGTCGCACGTTCTCAAGACAACTACGATAGCCCTGCATCTCCTGTTCGAGCCATTTACCCTCCAGGCCACCACGATAGACCGACAACCGCATCAAACACACGTGACCGTCTCCGCGCAGAACAACCAGCCCCTGCAAGCCCCCGCAGCATCCTCTCCAAGCGCTCGCAAACATCAAATGCTACAACAAGCAGTAAGAATACGCGCTTCAACCTTAAGAATCTGCGCATTTCCGGCCCCATTGCGAAGTACCCTGGCGCAGATGATGACGATGAAGCTCGACGGCCTCTAACCCCTCGCTTCTACGCCCCTGGTGCTCCGCCATCGCCCCCAACTCAAACAAACTCGCCAACATCGCCTTATGACGCCGACGAAAGCCTGGATCAAGTCCAACCACTACCTCACCCCGCTCCCCATCGCCGCGGAAGCTCAACTACGTCCAACAACCTCGGCCTCACCATCTCCACCCCACCACCACCGTCGAAACAAAAAACCGCCACATCACCCAACCAATCCCTCCCGCTCCGTTCCTTTTCATCACCTCTCAACTCTCCTGGCATCCAAACCACGGTGCTCGACCGCCGCGTCGACAGACTGGCCTTGGGCACTCCCAAGACCGGTGTCCCTTTTACACCCTACAGTCCTTATATGCCATTTACGCCCGTCACGCCTGTGACACCTCATCTGACTACAAGGCGTGACCGCAAGATGGAGAAGAAGATGGACGCAAGGAGACGCCGTGGTGGAGAAGAAATGGTTCAGACGCCAAAGGAAATCTTCGGTGATGCTTATTAGTCTTTCTTTCTTGTTTCCGCGAGAGAAATGCCCCAAAGATGAAGAGAAGGATGTATATGTGTGTATCAGGTAACTTTGGGGATTAGTATCTGTTAGCGTTTTTCTTTTTCCACAAATTGGAAATTAGGCAAAGGACGTATACCCACCCCTGCTTGATGGCCGGGCTGACGACGAATCTTTTTTTTATCTTTATTTCTTGTACCTATGTATGCATGTACGGTCTAGTGTCTTTTTTTTCGCTCGTACGTGTGTGCATACTGTTTTTTTTAGTTGTATCTTTAGCTTCTTTTTTCCTTTTAGCTTTTAAGTAAAAAAGAGTAGACAAACTCTATGATCATGATGAATATAACTTCTTTTTGGATACGGGCCGACATGCCGTAGTCCGACTTCTAGCTATATCTGTGTTTGTTTGTTTGTTTTTGCGAAGGCTGTGATGCTGTTGCTGTTTAACATCCACAATAGGTGTTGTTGTGAGTGCTACGATCTGTTGTTGTACATCATCGCTGTACTTTCTTCAAGTTTCATCATTTCAAATATACTTATCATGCATATTTTTTTTCTTCCCTCGTTATCAAATAGCAAAGAGGAAATAAATATTCATTTTAACCCTTGAAAAAAATAACACGTAACACCAAATCACTTAGTTATAATTTAACAAAGATCATGTTTGGGAGTACTATATTTTTCCAGCACCCACTAACTACTTTATTTAAATTATTCCTTTGGTATTTTCCTGGTGTGTGTAAAGTAGAACAAGTGGGACTACTAACACAAGTGTATGATGTATCTTTGCTTCGCTGTATATTTCAATAACTATAACTAGCTCTAAAGACTACAATCGAGAATATTACTCTACAATATGAGAGAGTTCATTTTCTACGTAATTGCAAATGCCAATCATTGTAGAATTTTTATAATGGACATCATTAAGAACAGTGGATAGATATTTGAAATCTTACCGTGTATTTGCAAAAAAAATAATTTGAAATAGATGCACCCATCTCACTAGAGACAAAAAAAGATCAATAGTTTTACACCCATCCATTAATGTGTATAAACAAGCACCACTCCATCAACAAAGACTGAATGGCAGACAAACACCAGTATCAACAGCGCTTGGTCCTATGTATAACCAGCCACGAAAAATTTGCATTACAAGTTCTCTTTTTAATTGACCTCGACCTCACCACCCCGAGCGCCAAAACATGGGTGTACATGTACCAAACTAACCCTCCCTTCTACTACTACCTCCTCCTCGCCTCCTACCGCTTCTACCCCTCGCCGCTTCTCCTCCCTCCCCACCTTCCTCTCGTCCTGCTCCTGAACCACGAAGCTCCGACTGCAAGGATAAAAATCACCTTTCCCAACACACCGACAATACATTCTTGCTTCAAAGTCTACCGAAAGCACGCGTCTCTCCGAACCAAACTTGCATGGAAAAGAATAAGATGAAAAGAAAAAGTAATAGTAGTAGAGGTGGACGAAGGGGAAGAATGCTGTCGCCTCACTTACATCATCTGAGCGACAGCCGAAGAGAAAATCCGAGTCTTGTTGAAAAAAAAGTCGAGCCGAATGTGTATGAAAAAAAAAACGAAAAGTCACGGCGGAAAAAAGCTGCAGCCGCTAAATGCAAAGATAATCCGAATCCAACAAATATCGCTTGTTGGCAGATGGAACGTTGGAATGCCGTACCTGTAGAATGGGAAACAAAAGAAATTGATGATGGCGATGATCGGATGAGCTAGGATAACTGACGCTAGGAAATGGACGCCATAAACGCCGTGCGCTGTATCGAGAGATACCCATGAGCCTGGGTTGCACTGAAGCTGAAGTCAAGTTTTTTTTAACCACTTGTGGTTTACGTAGGAGTATGTTCAGATGTAGTTGCATGGTCGTTTGTGCATGGTATTGCGAAGAAAGCACCTGGAGGCGGGATATCTGCATTCCCATAAGTTCCGAGCTTTGTCGTCTTCCGCTCTCAAAAGTTTGCCAGTCCATTCCTTGAGTGGCGTTTGCTAAAGCGCTTCCTACCCTTTACTGAGTCAGTATCGCCTTCTTTGCGAAGATGGCCGTGGCGGGAGGCGGGAATGTTCACGCTCTCGAGGGCAGAGTCAGCTCCCAACGTACTGGTGGGAGTGGTGTGGTTTGAGACGAGCTCACTCAGACTTGCATCAGCAGAGTACGAATTCGACATTGTTTGTGAAAAGGCATAGTCCCGAGCTTGTTCGATGCTATCCAGCCATTCTTGGGTAGAGTACTTGCTGCCCTCGGGATCGCTGGTGGTGCTTTTGGTGTCTTCAAAGACATACTGCTTGTCTCGCTATAGTTTGTCAGCTGGGATTGCAATGTTGGAGGATCTCTACAACGTACTGTTTCTACGAGCCAAGCAGTAAGGCCCTTGGAGTCCTGGAACGATCTCCATGAACAGCCTGCTGAGAGCAATGATACCTCTTCCTTGAGCTTCTTGTCGTTTGTGCCTGCTGCGCACATGAGAACGCGAGCGTTGGACGTAATCATTACGAGCCGCTGTCGCTTCTTGACAGTATTTCCACCGAAAAAGCGTGAGAACTTCTTGGGTGGCTCTGCTGGCTCTTCCTTGGCGCCGACAACGTGACCAGGAGGATGCTGTGTGACAAACATGTTTCCAAGCTTCAATATTCGTTCGTCTCGCTTTGTGAGGACTGGAGACCAGTCGATGTCGAGCTGAGAGGGAGGGGGTAGTTCGGTGATGAGCCGTGGCTTTGGTCGCGCCTGGGGTTGACTGGGAGCTGTTGCTACGGGTGCGGAGGGTCCTGAAACGATGTTAGTTGCTTCGTTGCATTTGTATGAAGGAACCGATTATACATACCATTGAGCTTGATTGGTTCTTGTGGGGGCGCACTGTAGGACTTGAGGCGCGGAGCCTTTTGCTTCCACAGCCCCTTGCCCCATTGGATGCCATCAAAAAAGGCATGATTCTTAATATGCTCCATAGGCAGTCGTGTCAATGGATCCAGAACCAGCAGTCGCTCAACCAGGTCTTTTGCTAGTGGAGGGAAACCGTCTGGGAAGGAGTATTCGAGTCCGACAATTTTCTGAAATGTCATGTATTCGTTTGCAGCCTTGAACGGAGGTCTTCCGGCAAGTAGTTGGTAAATGATGCAGCCAAACGCCCAGAGATCGCTCGCTTTGCACGCATTCTTATCTGTGAGTAGTTCTGGCGACACATATTCCGCAGTTCCCACAAACGATTGCGCGCGGTCCGACTCGCTGGTATCTAGAGGGTCACTACTTGACCCGGCACCGTTTGATCTCTTCTGGTCTAGTATCTTTGCCGTGCCAAAATCCGTAATCTTGACATGCATTGCATCGTCGAGGAGGACATTCTCAGGCTTCAGATCTCGGTGTATTACGCCCTTGTTGTGCATGTAGTCGATTGCGTCCAGTATTTGGGCTCCGTAGAACCGTGTGCACTCCACGTCAAATGTGCCCATCTTCTTGAGGAAGCCCAGCAATTCACCACCAGATGCCAAGTCGAGGACAAAGTACAATGAGCGCTCGTCCTGGAAGGTATAGTAGAGTCGGACAATGCCAGGGTGCTCCGTCAAGCGGTTAAGCGTATCCTTCTCAATGTTCACATATTTGACCTTCTTCTCCTTAATGATATGGCGCTTGTCGAGCACCTTGATTGCGTATTCGCGCAGTGTCTGGCGATCTGTTGCTGCCAAGACAGTACTGTAGGAACCTTCACCCAATGTCCTACCAAAGTTGAAGTCCTTGACGCCCTTTTTCACCACGCGGGTGATTGGCCTGCCATTCTGATCTAGGTCCTGTCTAGTGCTCACAGCAGCACCCCGCTCTTTCCACTCCTCGCTGCTTGAGAGCGGCCCGCCCTCGACGCTGTACGGAGAGCTGGATAATTGGGATGCCCCGGGATGGTGTGCTTCCATGGGCACCCGCCGCGAGCTTCTCCGAGGCGGGAGAGGCCCGTTGATAGCCGACATTTGTGCGGACTGGCGGTAGGGATCCCGTCTGCTGTGTTCTCTTGTGGGCATGGCACCCGGGGCGACTCGGGAGCTCGCAGTACGGCGAATGTCCGTGGCCATTGCTTCGTCGTTGTAGCGGTATGTGCCAGGGGCGGTGGTGGACGAGGTGGAGAGGTTGGGATGTTGGTACATGCTCGTGGACACGGGGCGTTCTCGCATGGGCTGCGACGTGGGCACGGCGCTGCGCTGCTGCTGCAGCAACGGGGCGGCGGCGTAGGCGGGATAGACAGCCTGATGCTGTGCTTGCTGTGCCTGCTGGGCCAGGGGCATCGACTGGCGGTGGGACAGGCGCGGTGAATGCGATGACAGCGACGACGTCTCTGCTAGGGGGGAGGGAAATGCAGCGGGCGAGCCTGAGGGTGACGAGGCATAGGCATTGTGGTTGACAGAAAGCGAGTCTGAGGCGGCGGGCTCCTCGTCTATGGACGCGTAAGATGAGGCGGGGTCGTACGAGGCGAGGGGCGAGTGGTGCTGGGGGTGCTGGAGGTACTGCTGCTGCTGGTGCTGCTGCCTGTCGGTGACGGTGGCCGAGGACGAGGCGCGCGAGGGCGGTAGTGGTGAGGGTGGTGGTGATGCTGATGCTGATGACGACGCGGGTTGCGGGAGCTGCGGCGGAGCGTCTGGGGCATCTGAGGACTGGGGGAGCAGCTGGGGGTTGGTTGGGGGAGGCGAGGGAGCGTCGTCGTCCTCGTCTGGATTGGCAATGCGCAGTCCGCCGAGCGTCTGCGACAGGCTCAGGTCGCCATTCATCGTGGCGGCCGGTGGGCTGCACTGGCGGTAAACGAGCGAAGGGTTGCAGGTAGCGAAGGGACCACCCGCGGCGCGTCAAAGGAGCCTCGATTAGCGTGCGGGATACGAGGGTGCAGCGGAGGCATGGCAGGGGCCCCAGAGGCCGGTCGATGGGTTGGGGGTGGATTGGGACGAGATGCGGCGAGGTGAGGTTCGTATGGCGCTGCTGCTGCTGCGGCTGCTGCT